TTGCATAGAGCTTGGAAACGGTTATCGCTTCACAAAGGCGCCAACGTGCCTGGAGTTTTGAATGGCTCCGAATCTATGCAACCTCTCATGTCAGCCGGTGACAGGCCGTTTGTATATGACCCTGATCAAGGTGTGAGACTTCCAGACCGCCAGTCGGCTACCGAGCTCCTCGGATACTACTTTGACCGATGCGTTGTCACATATCGCTGTCTTAACAGCCAGCTTTGCTCCCAATGGCTTGACACAATACTCCACAGCACCGAGAATAACCTTCCATTCTATCATGATATTGGGCATGCAAAAGCAGCGGTAATTCTTGAAATACTTGCAATCGCCAGCCTGAGACAAAACAAGGTCGCCGGAAACTGGTCCGCCGATGATGGCGGTGGATATTACCTCCAGCAAAGTGACCAGTTCTTCTGTGGTGCGACGGCACTCACGAATGAAGAAAAGGGTCTCCCACGACTTGAGTCAGTCCAAGCTCGGATTCTGCAGGTTCTCTATCTGTTGCAGACGGCCAGGATGAACCAAGCATGGTACGTTTTTGGGAGCGTGGTACCCATAGTATCCGCTCTGGGCTTGCACAGGAAGGCAAGCCGAGACAGAAACGGTGCCAGTCGAAGCCCAAATGTGGACTATATTGCGTCTCAGGGCCGCAAAAGAACTTTTTGGGTTGTCTATACGATAGACAAATATCTATCCGTCGTTCTAGGTCGACCACGATTGTACCATGACGATGATATTGACCAGGAGTATCCAGATAAGGTTAACGATGAGGATATGACCCCTCAGGGTCCTTCCCTTTTAGAACCGTCAATGGACTGCCATATTGACTCATTGATATTCCATGCCAAGTACGTTAACTAAGAATCATTCATGGGAATTTTCGCTTATCGTCAGCAGAATTGCTCGAATAGTAGACAGCATTTCCCGAGAAGTGTACTCTTTGAAAAACGTCCAAAAGCACGAGCGACTGGCAGCAGCTCAAAAGCTTGTTCGAACATTGCATGAGTGGCGAGACGAACTCCCACCACACCTCGGCACTGTCCGGCCACGCAGCCTTATTCCAAGCTTCCGTCGGCAAGCCACGGCGCTGAAACTAGCATACTGCCATGCAGTCATGCATGCCAATCGCCCGTTTCTTCTAGGATCCCCCACCAGGTCAAGCAGCCAGAACCTTAGTGAAAGCGTCACAGAGTGTATCACTGCTGCAAGAATGGCGCTTGAAACAGTGGACAGTATTGTATGCGACGGGGCTCTTTTCCATGCATTGTGGTGGACGCCATATGTTACATTCTGCGCGCTAGCAGTTGTCTATGTGTGGGAGATCCAACAAAAGAAATCGCAGGGAGAGTTGGCCAGCGACGACCCTTTCTTATTTGAGCTGGCCGAGCGTTGTCAAAGCTACCTAGCTCAATCTACAGCTGGAGACTCTCCGTCTCGGCGCTATAGCATCATCCTCGATGAGCTGCGCCTTGAGGCACGCCACGGGCGTCCCGCAGTGCTACAAGGGATTTCTGGAGCCAGTAGTGTAGATCAGCTGCAAAATTCAGACGGTCTAGCTATGGATATCGGAAGCATGTTTCAAGAGCCAGGAGAGGATTCAATATATCAAGGGCTACCCATGGTCGATGAATGGCAGGCTACCGATTGGCTTGACTTGGATTCCTCAGTATGTTTTCTGCGTCCGCGGCCTACTACTGTGGTCTGACAACTGCTAACCTAAGTTCTTACACTAGGCTTTTAGACCCTTTCCAGATTTTGAAAGGTCTTCTATTCTCTGGACGACGGATATTTGAGGATGCTGACGATTCTGCCTGGAGTGCATCGGATTGCTCTTCCGCTACCATCGGATTGCTCTTCCGCTACCATCGGATTGGTCATCACTCGCGTCTGCCAGACTGGTCAGGCCGTCTCCAGTCATAATAGATAACTTCAACTTAATTCTTTCTAAAAGCACCAAGGTGACCTCTTTGCGTCATCTTCTACAGAGTTCTTTCTCTTAGCGGGCGAGACGTCGGGCCGAGCAGGCATGCCTCGTTGATTGGTCCAATTACCTACTGAGAATCAGGTATTGACGGCTCTTACGTGACTGTAGACGGATTTGTACATTCGTAAAAAACTAGTAGAGAAAATGAGCTAGAGGCTGGGGCTCCGGTTAAATGCAAGATCTTTTCTCCACGACTGGCTAATGCGGAGAGGTTGATGTTGTCCGGTGAGTAAATTTCATTATTTTGTTTTCATCCATAGGGCACTGATTGCAACTTGTAGGCATAGTATGTGATACCCAAAATAGTGGCGATATGAAATCTGAAATTCCACTTGGGAGAGAATCATTCCTTTACTTTGGCGTTGCTCTTCGCCCAAGTGAGATGCCTCTTCTCCATCAAGCCCCTCTCCAATCGCAGAATTTATCCGCCGTTATGGAGTTCATCAAGCTCCCACCAAATATCGGACCGAATCAAGTGCAAAATGAGGTCATATGCCATGTGCTATTGGAGAGCTCTCAAGCCAGGGTATAAGAATTGACGATGTTTCCTACCTAGAGTCACGTACTGACTAGAATATATGCTTACCCCGTGTTGCTGAGGGTCATATTTATAACCATGAAGACAATATTCCCCATGATTTCACTACCCTCGTTGGTGCTTGCACAGCAGATATTCACGCCGGGGCAGGATCCTGAGCCTCGCCCCCAATGCTCGAGCAAGGGCCCAAGCCACCCAAGTTATACCTTCACGCCCTTCAGTTATACCCAGACCACGACGGTGAGATATGCCAGTTCTCGAGCTGTGCCTACGGTCACCGCAACTTATGCACCGCCTCTAGAGTCGCTGGCTACCTTGATCCCGTCACAATCTTACACTACTTGGGGCAAGTGGGACCCGAATGCTACGACTTCAGCGACTGATGCGGAAAATCCCTATGGTAACGCGGCTTGGACGGCTTTGTGGGAATATGCGAATCCTCCTAACTTTACCGAGACGGCCGTTTACAGCACTACCGTAGAGCCAACCCCGATACCGAGTGATGAGCTTGTTCTCCCACCCGCTGATTACTTTGGGCCAACGGATTGTTACAACTTTCCAAAAGGCTTCCAGTTTGGAGTTTCCAGCAGTGCCTCGCAGATTGAGGGTGCCACCGCCGAGCAGGGCAAGGGACCGTCCCTGATGGATATCCTTTTCCGCGGCGGTGTGCCTACAGACTACGTCACAAATGAGCATTATTACTACTACAAGCAAGACATCGAGCGCCTGGCGGCCATGGGAGTCAAGCACTTTGCTTTTAGCATTGCATGGACCCGCATATTGCCATTTGCACTCCCCGGAACTCCAGTCAATCAAGAAGCCATTGACCATTACAACGACGTGATCAACTTCGTCCTGGAAAAGGGCATGGTTCCAGAGGTGACCCTGCTACACTTTGACACTCCCATCCAGTTTTACGGCGACAATCTCACGCAAGCCCTGAGCGATGCTGAAATTGGCTATGTGAATGGTGGTTACCAGAACGAAACCTTCCAAGATGCGTTTGTCAATTACGCCAAGATTGCCATGACACATTACAGTGACCGTGTGGCTACGTGGTTCACCTTCAACGAGCCGCTTCTCTATGCGGATAATGGAAAATCGATTGACAATGTCATAAAGGCTCATGCTCGAGTCTATCATTTTTACAAGGAAGAAATCAACGGAACAGGGGCTGTATCATTCAAGATGAACAACAACTTCGGTGTACCCAAAGACCCCTCCAATGAGGCGGACCTTTACGCAGCAGAGCATTTCAACTCTTTTCAGTTGGGACCTTTTGCCAACCCCATCTTCCTGGGAAAAGACTACCCCGAGTCATACAAGGCCACTATCCATGATTATGTGCCTTTGACGGCGGAAGATCTAGCATATATCAACGGCACCGCCGATACTCTAAGCATCGATCCGTATACCGCGACCGTCATCACAGCCCCGGAGCCTGGAAACATCCAGAGTATTCTCGACTGTGCATCTAATTACAGTTCACCCTACCGGCCCTACTGTGTCAACCAAACCACGGCTGATGTCTATGGCTGGAACATTGGGTACCGTTCTCAGACCTATGTATACATAACCCCCACCTACTTACGCACCTATCTCAACTATCTATACAATACCTGGCGGCACCCAATCATCATCGCCGAATTCGGGTTCCCTGTCTACGGCGAGGCGGAGAAGGGGCTTTCTGACCAGCTCTTCGATACGCCTCGGAGCATCTATTATCTTAGTTTCATGTCCGAGACACTCAAAGCAATTTGGGAAGACGGGGTTGAGGTGCGCGGTGCCTATGCATGGTCCTTCGCCGACAACTGGGAGTTTGGCGACTATGATGCACATTTCGGGATCCAGACGGTGAACAGAACGACGCAAGAGAGGAGATACAAGAAGAGCTTTTTTGATTTTGTCAGCTATATGCGTGCGAGAGATGTGGATTAGAGAGTGAAAAAACATCCAGACGGTCCGAAAGTTGGCTGGCAGAGAACTTCTTTCTGTTAGTAAAAGGGACAACAAATCTCAGTCTTAGGATTGGGAGGCTTAATAAATACATATTGTCTGAATCTCATGATTCTAAGTGAGAGACACTGTCATCTCCTGGTGTGAACGAAGGCACTAATCGTGAGATATGCCCATCCACCTACGTTCCAGGGGCGCACAAATCAGCGCCCGGTAGAGCGCTATCAGGTTTGTATCGTATGGATTTTGTATTGGGGTAAGATAAGAGAGAGACGAAGCGATGCAGGTTGCACGTGAGGCTCGAGGCTGACCAATTGGTTCGACGTAACAGGGATAGCGCTATCTCTGAGTGGATCCCACCCCCGCATTCTTCAATGGTGCTCTTTCGGTTATCTCACAGGGTTTTCCTCGTCTATAAACCCCAAACGATGTCTTCACGAGCTTCACTGCATTTCTGGTTGCTTGTAATCAACAACCCGTCAGTCTAGGTGATGGTCAAGACCGAAAAGCGTCAACATGGAGGAAATACACTACACCAAGCGCACGCGACAGGCCTGTGAGCCTTGCAGGTACACCTTCCCATTTATTTTATGAGATACTTGATTTGACTGCTAGTTGAATTGCCGACTGAGATCCAAAACAATCAGGCGGAAAAAGTCACGATGCCCTGGGGAAAAGCCAGAATGCTCGTATTGCCAACGGCTCGGTCAGCAATGTGTCTACAAAGCTCAAGCTGTCAGCTCCGGCTCCGGCTCCGACCCCACAGACGCTCAAGTTAGACATAATCGAAAACTAGTGAGAATTGATATGTTGAACGATAATTTTAGTATTTCTTCGACTGACGCCATATTGTAGGAACATAGGCTTGGAAATCTTGAAGGCCAGATGAGCCGATTAATCCAACAGCTCAGGTTGGTTTTGTGACCTGAGAACGCCTATCAGAGTATCTAGAATACCTGACTGACTCACCTATCTGAATAATCGAAAAGTCCAGAGAACTTGAATTTTCGCCAAGCCTCGGCTCCTTCAGATCAACTGCCATCACCTGAAGCGAGTCGTTTGTCAGACACGGGCCCCGCCAGAGAACTCGAATCAACTCCAAGGTAGTTCTGTTTCTTACGACCTCAGTTTTGCTCAAGACCCAGCTTAATGAATGTGAAAAAAGTAGCGGAACATTCACGGACGATGAACTCAATGACATGGGGCGCTTATACCTGACCTGGTGTCATGGACAGCCCATCTCTCTATTCGACGAATCATCGTTTCTCAGTTCTCTCAAATTCCGAGACCCAGAGCTCTTATGTGCAATTGGAGCACTAACCGAGAGATTCCCCCCTAGATCACTGACTGATCACAGCAAGGAGTTAATGGAATCTCTTTCTCAAAGATCCAGGAGGGCCGTAATGGACAAGATAGCTAACGGCGAGGTGCAGCTTTCCACCTTACAAAGTTTGTGTGTTTTAAGCATTTGTAACTTTACTAGTATGTCACTTCATATGTTCCCATATTCTGATCCTTGTTAGACTCACAAGATCTATTGCAGGCGGAAAAGTAACTCAAGCTGGTCTAAATATCGTCATGGCTGATCACATCAAAGACACTGCTCATTGGTTGGAAACGGACAGCCAAGACAATGAGAGAGAGAAATGTTTTAGAAGCATCTCTGTACTCAAAAAATTACAAAGCTCTGTGCTGCCTTCTATCAAAAATATGGTGCCTTCATCATTATATCCGGTAAGACATTAGAATTTGCAGTGCGATGTCGCGGATCGAGTTGACAGGGCTTCACAGGTACATAGGGACGATGGCATCCCTTTCTACGCTGAAAAGCTGTGTGATGTATGGCAGATGGCGAGAGCATATGCTGCTTCACAAGCAAATGCAAATGATCCACCACCATGGGACTCTAGGTCGGAGTTTTCCGAGGTAATGAGCCGGCATTTGGAACTCGATTGCTTGATCCCAGTCAAATACCGCTTCCGCTTAAACAACATGGCTGAGTACGACAGCGAGACGTTGCTACAGAACCGTGGATATTGGGCAAGTTTCCTTTTTATCCAATTCGTGTACTCTGCCATTCCGTGTCTTCTCAATCACCCATTCCTACTATCTCTGCGCCTACGCCACTTTCGACACACAATCCCAGAAAGTTTTATTCAGCAATCCTATGAGCAGTTAACGCGGTTCATGGGTTGGATCATTTACTTCATAGATCTACTGGAGAGAAAGTCTTTCCAGGTTTCTGATCCTGTACTAGCGCATTGCGTTGTTATTGTGTCAACAATTCATCTTCAGCATAGCTTTGTGGAAGATACAGTCCTACAACGGAAGGCATCCAGAGGATTCGAAAAATGCCTTCGCTTTCTCAAGCGTATGGGGCAAATGTGGCCTTCTGTAGCTCTTATGGTATGTTGCTGGTCTAAATAACTCTACCCAAAATGCCATTTCTTGCGAGGAAGGCTATGTAACTTACGCTCAGTGTTGGTGTTAGGTTGAAAACCTGAAGATGTTGCAAGGTAGCGTAGTATGCTTGCCGCCAGAAGCAGCTGGCCAGGAGAGGACCAATGCGTCTGGCGAACCTTCTTTCTCAATCAATGCTCGACTACTCTGGGATGTTCTTATATATGACCGCGCGGGGCAACTTAATGCGAGAGCTGACCACTCTATGCTGGGAAGCACCTTGATCTCAAAAACGCCCGAAAAAGGAGCTGAGGCTCGCGTTGCGGATGAAGACTTTGACTTGATTGGTTCGGCAGGCCTGAGTGGCCATAAGTCAATGATACACCAGGGGCCAGCCTATCCTCCCGATATGAAAATATTCTTGACTTGAACGAGGATAACTTAGACACGACGCCACATGCCATCACTAACATGGCAATCACGATTGGGGATGTTAATTTAGAAGGAGTTGGTGGATATGGCAACGAGGAAAGTATGTTTTTGGCACATGATTACGGGAGGGCGATCGGCGACTGGTTTGATTTCGATGCCATGTAGCCGATAGAAAGACAAATTAGTCCCTATACTGCTGAACACCTTAGGCCTTAAATTGCATCAAATTAACACACAAAGGTAGAGAGCAAATCCCATCATGCCTTTAAAATTTCTGAAGATCAGATCTCCTTCTGTGATATTCAACCTAAGACATCCAGTGGTATTCGGCCGAATGCCGTCTGGCAATGTCTCTTCTCCTCTCAAGATATAATTACAGTATCATTCGACAACAGGTACAGTTTCAGAAGGTTGGAAGGTCGAATCGTCACTTTGGATGCAAATAGGGAATTGAGAGAACAACGAGTAGAAAACCCTAAGTGTACGATGCACGGCTTCCTTAGTTGAAGTCATTCTAGTCAAGGTGCTGCTGGCTTCGAGTGCGAGTGTGGGCACGGCATTCACGGAGGCATCCTCGCCGTACCCACATGTTTGTCTGGATACAGAGAGATTGTTCACGACACAGTTCTTAAACAAGGGCGAGATAAGTGCAAATGGCATATTTTAGACTTTTCTTATCTTCTACCCCCAAAATAAAACCCTGTCAATCATTGTTAGTAAGTCAGGACCTTGAACAGCATCAAGAATTGGCTTAGCTCATGCCCTAACTCTAATCCCCAACGATCTAGAAAGCCAGTGCCAGTATATCCCGTGTGACCCGCTGCATGGATTCACATCAAGGTGCTTGCAAATGGCCGCTTGGGCGATGAAAGGCGGAACAGGAAAGTAGTCATCTTCGTCAGTCTGGTTGTTGTGCTCGAAACTTGGAAGTACTGCGTCATAGAGGAGAGATACACTCCTCCTTCCTACACAATATGAACGTAACGAATTTTAACACTTCAATCATGGAATTCTCTTAATTTAGGCCGATTCGTCCGTGAATTATTTCTCTATTCCCGCCATTCATTGATTTTACTATGTTTTAGAACAGAACCTCAGAATGCTCGGCTCTGGATCCCGATCAGTCAATTTTCTACCACCTAAGCACTATTGATAATGCTCAACTTGGGCTAAACAACACCAACGGATGCAGTGCTAGACAATTAGCAATTGATTCTTGAAAAGAAGAAATGTACAGTATTTTCCCAAAAGTACGGAGGCTTATTTTGAGCGTGTTTCGGTGATCGGCACAACCGGAAAAGAACTCTCCCATATGCGCCCCCTAATTGGTGACGTGGGTAAATTATCAAGCCACAACATCATTTTTGCGCTAACAATTTGAAATAAACTCGGCTAAGTTCTCAGCTCGTCGGGGTCTATCTACTAAAACACTCAAACAGTTGGCAAGTATGGATGTCGGCTAATCTTACTCCGGCGATATAGGGATGGGAAAGGTTTCAGGCGCAAGTATAACCAAGCAGACACGCCAGGTATTAATATTTGATCTGCTGTCCCTGAATTAGCACTTCTGTAGACAATCGCAAAACCATTTATAATTGATATTCATCCTCCTTCTACCTAAGCATCGATGGCCGGGTCGTATTGTTCCGATATCCTGTCCACAAATTATCAGAATGGCAAACAGACTTTTATAATCCCTCTCACCTTTCCAGACGTGAACGATGCGAAGCATGTTCTTAGTCGAATTGGATATTCAGGGGATATCTGGGAATTGAGAGTCGACTTACTCGGACCGGGGCTCATTAGCGAAGAAAACATACCTGATCCTCAATATGTGAAGGAGCAAATCGAAACGCTACAGTCGCTATCTCCTCTGCCTATACTTTTCACGATCAGAACCCGATCTCAGGGAGGAAAGTTCCCCGATAGTGCTGTTCAAGAGGCCTTAGATTTAATGATCTTAGCTGTGGATGCAGGCGTGGGTTATATTGATGTCGAGATCGAATGGCCAGACTATCTCATCCAAGAGATCATCCAGAGAAAATCTCAGAGTAAAATCATAGCATCCTATCACAGCTGGACGGGTGATGTCCGCTGGACAGGGGAAGTACTCAAGAAGAAATTTGTCGCGGCAACTTCCTTCGGAGGTCGGTTATGCGATATCATATCCCGTACTCATAAGCTAACTGATGTGATCAGATATTATAAAGCTCAGTATTCTTTCTAAGGCTATCGAAGATTGTTATGAGCTAGGTCTCTTTGTTCGAGACTATAAAGAGCAGTATCAAAAACCACTTCTGGCTGTTGGTATGGGTCTCAATGGGCAGCTGTCAAGGATAACTTCACCCATTTCCTTGGTCACACATCCTCTCATTCCTTTTCCATCTGCACCTGGTCAACTGAGCCTCGCGCAGGTGCATAAAGCTCGAAATCTGATAGGACAACTTGAAAAAAGGGATGTGTCCATTCGAGGAACGGATGAGCATACGGTGCGAAGAGTTACAAAGTGCCTACAAGCGGCATTTGATGAGCTGGGTTATCCTCATTTTTGTCATGTGGATGGTTCCGATGGATACAAGACGATAACGGTGACAGAGACACTAGAATCGCCCGATTCGGTGTTGGAATTCGTGAGCAAGCTGTTTACAAGTATAACAGAACGCCCGGCACCTACCTCTGTCATAGAACAAGCGGCATCTACAAATTAGAATTCTGACCATGCCATCTGATCAGAACCAAAAATTCACGTTCATGCCAGACGATTACTGAGGATAAACCATATTCTAACAAATGGATTGAAGCGTCTCTTCTGTAGATTAGCCTAGCCATATCATAAAGAAGAGCCGGAGAGGGATTATCAAAGCCAATTTTGCCAGAATCACGGTGAGATAATTAGGCCAAAGCGAAGATCTCACTTGGGGCTTTAGGAGATTTCATAGGTGTGGTTAGAGTATATATTCTGTATCACCCACCATACCGGTCTTCGTTTAGCCTACTCTCCCTAACATTAAAAGAAAGAAGGAAAAGAAAAGGGGGAATACCACTGCTCAAGCGCAAACAGCCCACGTGGGTTTCTTGAGCCTGGATTTATTGTTCACCTAATTGCGGTCAGGAGCTACATCCTAAAAAGGGAGAAGAAGCCGACCAACATCCGCAATGCGACCCTTCAACTACAATGGACCGAAAGTGAAGAGCACGGGTCACGATCAAGAAAATGGCGCGTTAAAAGCCCCGCAAGCAGCCGCTCATGTTACAGTGCACGGAGACGATGAAGCCAATATGGAAGGATCCCTAGTAATAGTGGTTTCACCAGTAATGGCAAGCTTGCGTTGACCTTGATTGCATCTATTTTTCCTAGCTTCGCGTGAGCACTGTAGTTCGTATAATACAGGAAATTCATCGGATATCGCGAGTTTTAGGCTTATTCTTAAGCTTCAGCCCTGAATTAAGTATCTCCACAAAGTAATCATTTAAGTAGACTTACCGGCTTCACCTACATGTTATCATGTGGGGGCATATTAGAAGAGCATTATACGTAGCATTTACCAATCAGAGTCCTGTGTGCGCAGCGTGGTCTGTGATTTTGGTGGTCTACTTTTTGGACTCCCAGGAGATTATGGCCAGAACCAGAAGGTACCTTTAAAAGCATCATCTACGTGGATACTACTTGCTAGTCCGGGAAGGTCAAATAGAGGTACTTGGTTGGTTGCAATACTTCCTCGAATACTTCACTAATCATGGAGACAATTCATTCAGACATAAAAGGAATAGCGACTCTCATTGTGATTTTCTGTTGTAAATTCTTCTCTGTTCGCTTGTATATCGAAGGTTTTACTTACGCATACAAATAGCTATCCTAATTTGATCCAAGAACCCAGTCAGAATGGCTTATGCAGCGACTACACTCATAAGCCTTTTGGCCCTCAGTGGGCAAGCCGCCGGCGGGCTCACGAGACAATATTCTTCCCATCCCAACAATGGAAAGAGAAGCGGCGACCTTATTTCTTTTTCCCAAAGGACTAGCGGAGACTCTCTTCTTTCTCAGACTGTTGAAAACCCTGTGGTCCTGCAGCCCGTCCGCCCCGGCTACAAGACAGGGAAAAAGAAGCGCGATAGCCAAAGCCCGTTCGATCTGTTAGAAGAGGATACACTGTACTGGGCTGGTGAGGATGGCACCATAGCCGAACTTCGGCTTGAGATGGTTGGTGAAAGTGAGGCATTTGTGGACATTGAATACTTTGAAGATCGCATCGAGTCAATCAGTTGTCCCCAAGATGGTGATGGGAAAATCACAATTGACTTCGTCGACGAGAACGACCTCGGCGCCGCTAGCGAAATTTGGAACTGGGTTACAGAAAATCCTGACAACAGCTTCGTGATAATGATCGGAGCTGGTGATTGCGGCTGGAACACTGAACGGGTTCTCTACTCGGTTCAAGGGCTTGATTTCAATAGTGATACCAAAACCGTCCTACTTCAGGCGGATCCCGTATCCTGGAAGCAAGCCATACACAGCTACGACTTGAACATTGGTAAAGCCGCGCTTCATGAAAACCAGACGTCGTTGGCCCGCCGGGGCTGGTTCGAAGACCTATTCAACGGCGTGATCAACGCCAATCCTGACTTATCCGTTCCCTTCAACATTGACCTTAGCGGCACCAAACTTCCTTTTGACATCAATGGTGTTTCTATTTCTGGGTCTTGCAGCAATTGCTCCACTTCAGGTAGCTTCGATGTCGAGGCTCAATTCCGTGTTCGGTGGTTTGAAATCGAGGAGGCTTGGGTTGAGCTCAGTACCCCTGGTGTCAACTCTGTTGCAATCATCGACATCAACGTTCAAGGAGACTTCACCGACAAGCTTTTTGAGGGAAGCATAACGCTCTTTAAAGCATCGCCAGCCGGAATATCCATTCCGAACATTCTAACTATTGGTCCTACTGTTGGAGTCTCCCTGTCAGCTGGAGTCAGCGCCATTAACGGTAACGTGACTCTTACTGTTGGCGGTACATCAACTATTCCACCTTCCACCGCTCGGCTAGACTTCCTTAACGAGCAAAACACGAAGTCGGAGGGCTGGACTCCTATCTTTGAGCCTACTCCTATCAAAGTAGATGCTCACGTTCAAGTCAATGCTACCGCAGCTCTCAATGCTGCAGTAGGGTTGGAGATCAGTGCTCTCGGTACGTAAAAGTTACATGAAAGGTGAAGGTTTAAATTGCTAATGCGTGACGTTTTATCGTCATAGAAACTGGATTTGTTGCAGATCTCGAAGCCAAACTGCCCTATTTGACCGCCGCTCTCAAGGCTCTCCTGTGTATGCACTGAATCATTCCCTTGAGTCTCTCTAGAACTAACTTTTAATCCAGCAACGACCTGCACCGCCTGCGAAAAGTTTCAAACAGCAGTCGAGGGAAGCATTGATATTGGAATTTCAGTCGGTGTTGCGCTGAAGCAAAAGATTGCGGGATCCCTGACTAACCTTTGGTCGTTGCAACTATACGTAAGAATATCTCCCCTCTCCCGCTCTCGTGTCGTATATTTGGTCTGGACGCTCACAGTACATTCTAGGATGCCAAGATTCCTCTAGTTGACTTTTGTGAGGCTGTTGGCCCACAGCCTGAAACTTGTTCCGCTTAACGCAGACGGCTTATTGCGATAATGATTAAGTCGTTGTCTAGCTGTTACCAAGAGCTTATTCAATTTGGCAAATAAAGCATAACCTTGCTTCCCTCATACATAGGCCAAATATATAATTCCCGACTAAGTTGAATTCAATCAAGATATCTAAAAGCAGCTAATCGCCAAAAATAATCTACTTTGAGTAGTACGATCGACGCAGAATAAGCCAGCTAGTCGTTGGTAATCTCTTCTACGTATTCTAAATTTGCCTCGGTTTATGCCATTTTCAAGATATCCAAGGAGGCATTGCTTCATTAGATCACAACGATGTAATATCAGCTATATTTATAGACAGTCTCAACACCAAGACAATCATGATAATATCATGTAGAAAACTTCTTCGAATGCCGCCGTTGATATTGCCCTCCTTAGACATTAAAGCGAACTTCGGAATCCTGGTCGCTTAGGTAGTCGCACCATAGCAACCACCTCAAACCTCCCGTATGTATTGGGGTCTTTAAGAATCAAAGGTTTTACGTCCGTAAACCCATTCCTCTTTTTGTGTATTGGCAATGCGTCAGCAGTAGCATCCAAGTAAATAGGTAAGCCAGTTTCGTCGCCCTGACGGCATATCCAATCCATCAGGGGCGCAACTAAACTTTTCCCTTGATACAGCGGATCAACACCAAGAAACTCTCCCACTATATTGAAAAATAAGCTCATGCTCCCAAACTGAGTCGAGGAATATAAGGAACAGGCAGATAGAGCAATTCAGAAAGATGAAAAGTTTCACTCACTCCAATGCAATTGCCGGCCCATGATGCTAGCTCTATTCCTTTCCATTCCCCCCCAGAGACCGTCAGCAATCTTGGGATCATATCCAGCCGGGAATTCCGGCATGGGAATCTCCTGACTACCATCTGGCTGAGGAACATGAATCCTGCAGAAAGCCACAAGTTTGCTATTCATTTTGACGTCTTCTACCACGAATGTCCGGAAGACAGATGGTCCAGCCTTGATCCCGATGACAAATATTTCTTCAAGCCATGCTCGAATTTCTGCATTCTCTGGAGTTGCGTATCGGAAAAATTTATGAGATTGGTTGAAGGAGAGGAACCACAGCCGCGAAATGTCACCAACATCACTGAGCGTCGCATCCCTGATCTTGAACCCAATAGGGGACACGGGCTCTAACTTAGCGCTAATCATGGCTGCAGAATCTCAGTCAGTTTCAGTGCCGACTTGGTAGAGACGACTATCCTGCCGTTTGTTCTTTTATGTGTCTGCACGAGAAGTCCCGGTAGAGGTTTAACATACACTTTGCTAATATTCTATCTGCAGGTCAGTTCTTTTAGCGTAAACACCTAAGCAATAATACTATTTCGGCGAGGTGTGGCTGGCTGACGGCTGTCGTGGCTCGATATTATTGAATGCAAATACGGCATTGGATGTCTCTGATCAGACTGTGGGGTGAATTTCCAGACTATTGATGCTGCATGACAGTGCTTAAGCCAGTCATATGGTGTCAGAATGAATTTATCACCCTAACAGCTGGTGATTCATGCATGTTGCCACACCACCAACCTCGCTTACAGTTGCCGACGTGGCCCTGTCTAAACACACACACCTCACACAAGTACGTTTTCTATGCTTAGACCCCCATGTATCCAATGTGAGTTTCGAGCGCATCGGTCGTGTCTGGCTCCTGAAACCACTGAAGCCATTGTTATATTACTACCCACTAGGCAATACATAGCGCTAAATTTCATCCTTGTTAACGAAGTTGGGATGAGATAGCAAAATTTCCAATTTGCGGAGTTGGCCTCAAACGTGGTGAGGACTGCGTATATTTTGATCCATTTAGCTCTGGAAATTAGCTCTCCCCATGCACTAACGCCTACCGGGCCTCTTCTTGATATTTCTTGCAAACTTGATATGTCTCGTTCTTATAGTTTGGGCAAAAACTAGTGAATCTCGTTCCGTCGTATCACGATCAATGAACTTTCATAGAAAGAAAAAGCCAAGCATTAAGCGATTGTTCGTAGATGTTCAGTCTATGAATTCTAACCAGGAAGTAGGCAGGTAGCATCCCATATGATCAAGATCTTGGGGGTTCGGATACCGGAGCTCATCACTTCCGCCCCTGTGATTTCTTGCGGATTCAACGCGGTGTTTGTACAGCTCCAAAATCCCGTCGGCTGCTTCAGAAATTATAAGCTGCTCATAGGAGAGCATTTCACTAAAAATGACCAAGTCTTCAACTCTAGAAAGGCCAGTCATCTGCACTTCGGGCCAACACATAGAGTCTAGCCATAAATAACAAGTCTTCATTGACGCCATGAATGTCATGAGACGTATAATGTCAGTGTCTGGAATAGATTTTACTTCAGGGTCTTCTTGGCCAAGTTCCCCATCAGGTCTATCCGAAAGCACGTCTAGATTAGCATACCGAAATGCAACATTTTGAAAGGTTGAGAGGGTCTGTCGAAATGTTGCAAAGGGTGGAGTATGCTGAGGAAACGATGTCCCCGGTTCAGAGCTTAAGTAGTTGATGTTCTGAATGATAAGGATATCTGAGCCCGGATCATAGCGTACGGTGCGTGTATCGACGCCCGCGTACCACTTTTCGCGATGGACGCGCATTGTTTGCGGGTATCGTTTGTACACGGCATCACGAGACTCGCGACAAACAAGATTCAGGGCCTGGAATTGGTCTTCGACAGCTCGGCCGCCCAGGTTGAGGAAGGGGAAGTCGGGGTCGAGGGCGAAATAACCATCCACGATGGTGTCAACCTCATGAAACAGTTGACCGTCGATGTATTCAGGACATGACCCGTGGTCATCACAGAACTTTCCAGTTTTCATGTGACATGAGTGTTTGATTGATTGGTGATCGTAGTAAACGGCGACTTCTATCGTGCGGCCCTCGGGGACGCGGGGCATGGCGAGAGACCATATCATCACTCGTATCTCACCGGGCAGCTTCGAGAAACCAAAAAATCCTGGCGGCATTTGACCATCTGTATTTTCTTTGGTTGTCGACATGTTGAACAGCACTTGGCACGATCCGCTCCAAGATGGATTGCTTGAAGTTGATGGAAAAGGGTAATGGAGGAATACGGGAGGAATACGGTGAGGGGGTTTCGGATTACCTTGTTAGTGTGAGGGGTACAGACTCGACACTGGCGAGTCATGAGACGTATTCCATCAGCCACGTTTGATAAGCGCCAGATTACCCCCTCCAGTTTCAACCCGAGATATTTGAGAGCAAAACAGCATCCTCACCTCTTCTCTTGATGTGAATCAATCCAGATATCTCGGGTAGAGAATTCTCTAAGCGAGACACCGTAGGTCCAAAGGCTTGAGTACGGGGGAAGGGGTTCAGCCCGTCCCTGAAACAACCACACAAGGCTTTAGTTGGAGGCCGTACAGGGGACCCCGTTAACTCGTTGGTTAGGCCAAAATTGAGATTTGCCTTTGGCCTCCAATAACGTCTGAAGCAGCAAGTATCTTCGTACCCGAGGACCCACTGCTAGTACACAAAGGTCCCAATGCCTCGTATTAGCTGTGGCGATTACCATGCAGAGATATTGCCACATTACTCACCTCGTGACTTGGAGCTCTAGAGGCGGATGTGAGGTTATGTTCTGGTCTGATCTTGCTCATTTGTTGTACGGATGAGAGAGTTCGAGTATAATGTTAAAAACAGCAATAAAAGATGCCAGACCCGATATCTCAACACAATGAATAACTCCTTTGTTGTATCCCCGCAAAAATGGCTGCTACAGGCTGTGTGATATGTGTCCAATACCTAGTCCTTGTTGAACTTATCCCAGATTGGCGTTATAGTAGCGGACTTACATTAGCCTCAGTGAAGGTCTTATACATATACAGACTTGGAAATATGTAGCCCCATCCGACAAATGGCAAATGGCAAATTTCGTATTTTATGCTCCTTGGGTGCTTTTCTTGTGCAATAACTAACGTTTAGAGGTACATTGAGGCTCCTGGCGATCTCGCTCCTGGCGATCTCTGCGTCGACTCTTGCCAACAAGAAACCTGATAAGGGGGCATATTGTTGTGATACTAATATTGAAAGGAGGTTTTGACACCGGAAACGTCTGAAGCTTAGACGCCCCTTGAGCTCCAGAAATTTGCCTTTCCTCTCGCACTAGGGAACGGATGGATGATGGATCAAACGCCACAGGAATTAATGCCGGTTGGTAGCCAACTCCTTCCCAGCCGAGCCAGCCCTGGTGAGCTTTCCTAGGCCGCCGGTCTGGTCTAGGCCTGCAAAAGACGGCCAACGGTGTCACAGTGAGGCGTATTTAATCTTACCTGTAACTATCGCTTAATGCATGGGCGTATGTGCGGCGACGGCGTTAACAAGTCTGCACACTTGCGGCGGCCTATTTATACCAGCAGAGTACCATGAAAGGCAGATGATGCCTCTTTGGGATGTAAGACTTGCCAGTGTCTGGCTGGTAGCTGAAAAATGGTCCCTTTTACGGCCCAGTGGCATAAACGGTTGGTCCTGGCCACGGCAGTTTTGCCGGAACAAGCCCTGCGCATGTCAGCATCTGTGCCATCATTGCCCAATCGGGCTACATTTTCCATCTCATTTAAGCAGAGCAGTTGGCTGAACACCAGACCGCCACAGAGACAAGGGAGAAGATGGAAAGAAGGTGAAGTTTGTTCAACCTGGTTGATTGTTGGCTGAAGATCAGTTGGTGCCGTTGTTCCTACCAACATACTCATCTATGAGTACTTAAAGCACCTTCTTTCTCACCATTGTGGGTTTGATCTCCCCACCACGCTCATAACTTCATAACTCATCAGTCATTCTTTTCTGCCAGTCAATTACCTCTCAGCAAGCTGTTCTCCACCCCTTCAACCACCAACATGCAGTTCACCAAGCTCTCTCTCATGGCTGTCGCCGTCTCCAGTGCCATCGCCCAGCCCCAACCCACTGCCGTTCCTGCCGCCCTCGCTGCGCGTGAGGAGGATTTCTCTAAATGTTCCAACGCCTTGGTTTCTAAGGGAACCTTCTTCTCCGAGATGCCTGTTCCCACTGGGGACGCCGCGAGTGTCGTCGCCCTGGTCACCGCGACTGACGAGTGCGAAATCCCTGCCGTGACTGGCGACAGGGCCAGCGCTTACAGCTCCTACATGTCCGCAGCGTCCAGCTGGTATCAGAAGCACCAGTCTGAGTACAACGACATTGTTACTGAGTGTGGCAAGGATTTGGGCGCCGCCATGACCAGTGCCGGTTACTCGAACGTTTTCGCCAATGCCACCGCCTGCACCAGCCTCAAGTGGGGAGCCAGTGAGACTGCGGTCTCTACCAACGGCGCCATCTCTCGCCAGGCGGGCTCTGCGCTTGTTGTTGTTGGCCTTGCTGCTCTCACTGCCGCTGGGCTCCTCTAGATAGAGTTGACACGTCCATTGGCTGTTGGAGAATGTGTTTTGTCATAATGTCTAAAATGAGAATAAAGGCCAATGTACAAGAAAAGGGGGTTGCCAGATGATTAGATCAGCCGGTCAAGTGCTCCCCATACTAGGTTTTTTTTCTATCGCGGAGGGTTATTAAACAGTGTCTATCAATCTCTTTGACTTCTACTTAGAATAAAATCGATAAATAAACGATATCGTTTCACTACAGGTGATGATTCTTTTGGGGGCTGAAAGTGCATGCGGCGGGGGAACAGAACAGGTATCCATAACAAGCGGGTATGGTGAGGGCAAGATACCAGCAGTTGGTCGGACAAGATATTTCCAAACAGATTCTCGGTAAGTTTGATGCCATTCAAGCTTGTGGGGTTGGACGACAGGAACATCGCAGCCGTATCCACCAGGATGTGGTAGAGGGTAACTGCAGGGAATTCGTTTTCAAATACATCAGTGACTGTCAACCTCCAGAGGATTAGATTCGTAATGACATATGCTTATCGATGGAATGAACCGGCTTCGGCGTGAAACTGCATGGTATATGATCCAGCAACACAAGCCAGGCGTGGGATCTGTGACTTAGTATATCGAGTGGTATCAATGGCGGTGCCACCTTCGCCATCGCTCGCCTCATATCGGTCACTATAATAAACGCCCCCGGTAAGTTCTCTAGCAAACTTTAAGTCAAGTTCTTCGATTTTTTTCAGCTTTAAATGTGCTGGGTTGTACAAAAGAAGCTGAAGGCAATCTGATAGGCCGCAGATTAACGAAATACCTAAGTTTATGGCGTAGAGTAAGAAGCCCCCTCTCTAGCTCGAGGCCATATCGAGCGTCACCGATGCCACAAGAAATCACGGCATTGGCCTCCCGGCAAGCATCAAATTTGGCACGTGGAAGACTCTGGCTTTCCCCAGCCTCCAGAGCGGCTGCTCTGGAATGATGTCCGGTAACATCGAATGAGATATTGTGACGTGTTTGCTGGATGAGATTCAAGACGAGCTCAGCATGCGATGCTATGATAGACCCTGGCTGCTTCCTAGCAACAAGGCAATGCGGAATGTTCGTAGCTGATCACAAGTCATTCTGGATTATAAAATGTGTAAAAAGGATGTTGATGCACGGGAGGAAACTCAGAGGTGGAGCATTGATATGAACTTTGGCTTCATCTAGAGACAGCCGAGATCGAATCGTGTCGATCGGTTCCATCTTGAAGTTAGCAAGGAGTTCTCGTGATCCCATGCAAGCTGTTTTCATGGTAGGTCAAGGAATACAGAGGCGATGGTGGGACCAATCTGAGGTCTTGAGTCTTGATTCCTTGACTATCCGCCCCTACCCGATGATGAAGCCCGACTGAGACTAGCTTACCCTGGCTCACTCAAGTATCCCTGTAAGACTCCTGGCCAATGCCTTTTGTATGATTGGCCAGCATCTCGGGTGGATGACGGATGCTCGCGGAGTTTCGGTTGGGTGCGGACAGTAACGGACAACCCTCTCGCCGCCACTTGACCAGAATACAGGCCAACTTGGACTTGCCGGATACCACATGCCCAGTAGTACAATATCCAATCAGCCAATATCCGGACACCGGCTCCCCGAGAATGTCTTTATACTCCACCGGGGATGACATGGAGAAATCATCTCCGAAATCTCGGAGGTTCAAGAGGAGCTATGTAGCGTGCGTGCCATGCCGGGTCCGCAAGGTTCGGTGCATTATCAATGACGACCCCCCGTGTGCAAAATGTCGCCGTGAGCACCGGGAATGCGAATTCGATCATCGGCCCAAGGCGCCGAAACAGAGGGAACCTCCCAAATGGGCGAAGAGAAACGAAAGTACCCGTGGGGCCGTAGTACCACCAGAGAACGGAGAGCAACGGGTTCAGGATCATCATGGCCAGTCACCACAGTCAAGTCTTGTCGCCGGCCCTGGAATGACTCCGGTGGATGGAGCCGCGAATCTGCACCGGGTAACAGAGGTTGCAGTCCATGGCCGTGCCTCCCCTCGAAGCCAGGAGTTACTCTACAATCGGGTCATAGCGACACCTCTAACTGGGACCCACGACGCCTTAGAGGTGCTCTCCGATGCCGTTCCACGAGGAGAACCATCTGTGACTTTGGGAACCCGGGCGATAACGCCCTCGCCATCACACAATTCGGTCCCGTCGCCTGCTCAAGGACCTACCGTCATTCCTAGTGCAGGAGGGGGGCTTGGATTCACCGTATCGGTTCTCTCTAGCCCCGATGAGGAGATACTTGACTTGTGGGACAGGTCGAGGTTTGTCCGTCAAGGGTGGTTCACGGCCCAAGAAGCTGTCACATACATCGACCTGTGAGTAAGCCAGTTAAGGATCTAAGACACTACTCTATTGAACACTAACCCTACCAGCTTCTACAAATATCTCTCACCTTTGTCCGCGGTCATTTTGGATGATTTCTGCAGCCACTCAGCCCATAGTCGATTGGTGACCGAAGAAGCCATGCTCTGCTGCACAATCCTCATGATTTCATCCCGCTTCTTCATGCTGCCCGGAGCGGGCGGCCTCTCGCGGTCTCATTTGATACATCATCGACTCTGGGGCTTCTGCGAAACGCTGATCAAGCGCATCATGCTTGGACAAGAAAAACATTCGAGTTGGAGAATGAGAGTTGTAGGGACCATCGAAAGTCTCATGCTGATATCCGACTGGCACCCTCGGGCGATACACTTCCCGCCTGAAACAGAGGGATGGGACGTGTTTCTTATTTCTCCTGATTACGACCGTACCAATCGTCTAAGAAACCAGGGCGAGGAGCCTTTGATTCGATGGCGCGAGGACGTGTTTGAGCCAGCCAAGAGAGCGAGTCGTATGTCTTGGATGCTCCTTGGCATGGCCAACAGTCTCGCATACGAAATCGGGATATTCTCCAGCCAAGACCAGCAAAAGGTATACGACCCCTTGGACTTGGATGGACAAAGATACTTCCGCGCCCAGAAGCTTCTCTACACATATATTTCTCAAACGGCAATCAAGCTGAATATGCCTTCCCCTTTCCCTGACAATGTAATCATTGCGGCTTCCCGGTCCACCTTCGATCAGTCACTCCCCCCGTCGCATCGGTCATGGTCAGCCTACATGGACCTCAACTCCGAGCTGACTCGGCTTTCTCACACAGCCTCTTGCATGTTTTTCCAGACACCTGCCCAGCTTCAGGCGGTTGTCTCAAGTGGCAACCATATTGACCTTCTTGAGCATTTCTCTGGTTCCTCTTCTCGCTGGCTAGAGAGAGCTGAAACGATATTCCACCGTAAGTCGCAGACATCAAATACGATTCTTCACTTTCCTCGCGTCTAGTTCGATCGCATGTTAGTTCTTTAGCTAGAGCCGAGAATAACAATACCGCCTTCTAGATATAGATCAGCCCTTGCGGGACTGCCTACTCATTGAATACCATCACCTCAAAATCCTGACCGGCGCCGTCGCTATCCAGTCTGTGGTTGCAAAGGCATCGGCATCTGGCATAGACGGCAACGCCAAAGGCATAGAAGGAATCAACCTTGCTACGTTTTTAACACCGCGGGACGCCAAGTTCCTGCAGCAGGTGATCCGGGATTGCAAAAAGCTGCTCCATATCGCTACACACTCAATCTTCCACACCCAGTTCCCGTATGCACCGGCGCGAACAAAGATCAGTGTCATCTCGACTTCCGTCTTCCTTCTCAAGGCCCTGAGCATCGGCTCATCCAGTGCAGACGTTCACCAGGCACTAGAGTCACTAGAGCAGTGCACCCAGATGTTGAAATCTTCTCCACCAGACGACACTGACTTTGCCATGCGATATGCTACGCTCATCGAGAAACACACGGCAAACATCCGAGATCGTCTCGTTCCAGATTCAGCTTCATCAGGCTCTATACTACGCGTCCCAGATACAGATAGGTTCCAGTCCCAACATACTGGCCTCCATCTACCTATCCAAAATCTCTCGACTGGGCCCTATAGTGACTCCGAGATTGGGGATTCAGTCAACTCCTGGATATCATTCCCTTTCGACTCCAGCATTGCGCCTTTTAACCAAGAACAAGACACTCAGCTCTCACTTGGTCTGGATCTTGACTCGCTGGATTTTCTCTGGAATCTGCCTTTATCGTGAGCTTGTAGCCAATGGAACTCGTTGGAAATGCCCGAGGAAAACCTTGGATGTGGTTGAGAACATCACAAATAACATTCTCAGGACAACATATCGGTGCAGTCATGGAAGCATCCTGTTTCACGAGCGACGCTGCGGGAAGATGGCCAGGAGATTCATCCTGTATTCGGGGCATCAGGACATGAGTCCATGACGCTCCCGTCCGAAGTTCATCTAGGGGAACACTTCCAAAACATTTAGAGCAGCTCTTGGTCTTACAAGTTACGCCTTTTCTTGGTAAATTTAGGCATGAATGTGTGTGAGCAAACGGTTAGCAAATTATCATAGAGTGGCCCAAGAAACCATAAGCAGGGCCTAATCAACGATCCACACGTTCAAGGCGATGTATTCTAGAACCGGGATCATTACGCACCAGTCTCTAGGTAGATCGCTTCATAAGATATGGACATGGAGACACGCGTGCGACACGCGCCTGATGAACGCGTCAAGTCACCCCTGTTCAAAGCCCGTAGCTTTAGTGGTACCCACCCTAATTCCTCCGAGTTCGTTCCCGTCTTGAGTCTGCCCGTGGGCCTACCCTATACTCTCTAGCTGGCTGTGACGTGACGGTAAACAATAATCCTAAATAATAACCATTATCATTATGATGTCTCGAGATGGCACATCCAGAGGGGTCTCTTTTGTATAAATACCTCAAAGTTCAGCTGGTTTAAGAGGGAGGCTCACGGACAACTGAATTCAGGGAGTTTCTACCTTACGAGTTCAATGCTCTTGTGGCACTGGAGGTTTAAACTCCTGTGTGTGAATCGAGTTTGCCTTTGCAGTCAATTAGGGAGAGTATGGAATAATTTAAGACGGATGAACGGACGTCAGAAGAGAAATTATTCTAGGTTTCTGTTAGAGTTATGAAGAACTTCAACCACAATGACTACAAATCTTACGTCTTGCCATCCAAAATATGACCCAGATGCGCAAAGGCGTTTTCATAATTATAGATGTGCATACATAAGTTTTTATGCCAAACACCGAAGCACTAGGGAATTCACAACAACGCGTTTAAAAACGCGTTGTTTTTCACTTCTAGAATGATGAGACAAGACGTTTCTTACCTAGTTAAGCATCATTTCTCGCTAAGTTATTTTTATTTCAGGCTCTACAGTATCCACTCCACCATCCAGGATCTCCTGTAGAGCAAAATAGAACTAGAAATACCACCACCGCAAACATTCTCACAGAGTTTCTCATCTACAAAGTCACTTCCTCAGAAATAAGCCTGATTCTACCCGAGCCACTGCACACTTGGTTGATGATAGGACAACGTTAATGCTGGCATGATTTCATAGGTCATGCAGCGTCGGAAGGCCGTGTTCCAAGAGGTACTTATTGACCTCCTTGCTTGTCGTGTCCCACAAAGCTTGCGCCTGCTTCTCGTCCTGCGCTATGCGAAGCGGATCTTGGACTTTTCCAACCGGCTCAAGGTATTTTCCTTTATACACCTCAGGTTGCCTCCAGACCTCCGGGGCGGTGGCAGCGAACAGGGAGGTGAACGACCCCTCATCGAGAGTCAACATCACCTGTCTCATGAGCGGTTGGAGGAACCCTGAGAAAATGCTGACAGCATTGCCACTCTTAACCGCCCCCGGATTTAGAGAGAGCGAGATTATAGGCACGCCGAGTTTGTCAAGCCGGCGCTGAAGCTCCTGAGCAAACATGATATTTGCCATCTTGGCTAGGGAGTAATGCAGGATCTTGATAGTGAACATGTGTCTGAACACATATCGATACTTCCATGGTTCATACAGAAGATTACCGGACAGGAATTCCGGTTTGGAAAAGTCGATTTTGTATCCCGGTGGAAGAAACGCATGGCTAGCGCTTGATGAGACGGTAACAATTCGTACATCCGAGCCCTTCTCGGCCGCGGCATTCTTCAGCAGCGGAAGAAGCCCGTTGGTGAGGACGAAATGGCCAACATGGCTACATTGAAATGTTAGAAAGGATCGCGGACGATTAGCGTGCGAAGGAATCATACCACACTGCCATGGCCATCTCCCATCCAGCGTCAGTCAATTCGATTTCGCTTGTAGCGATACCAGCATTATTTACTTCATTTTGTGTTAGACATCAACCAGAAAAGAGGGTAATTTGAGTGGAAACGTACTGAGAATATCAATCTTACTTTCCTTTGCCTCCAAGTCTTTGACTGCCTCCTGCACGCTGCTCAGCTTGCTAAGGTCTAAGGGCAGCCATATGAGTCGCTCCTCCGCAATAGTAGGGTGGAGAGACAAGATTGTCCTCTTCGCATCATCGGCCTTTGCCCTGGTTCTCGCGCTCATGTATACCTTTGCACCATGTAATGCCAGGTGCAGTGCGGTGTAGAGACCTATGCCTGAGCTGCGAAGCCAAGTTAGTTGGGTTCCGTCAAGCGGGCTGATTCGAAAGATTTACTTAGAGCCTGTCACAACTGCAATTTTGCCCGCCAAGTCTGGGGTGTCGCTATAAGGGGTCCAACTCGCTCCCATCGTGGTTGGTTGTTTCGTTTCGATTGATTGAAGTTTGCGTAGCCCCTGTTCTACAGATAGGTCAGTGGAAGAAGAGAAGTGTCGCCTAGCTAGGCTTTTATAAGTTGAATACGCTACTACACTGACCTGGAAGCCCCCTATTCATATTACAAAGTCACTTTTCCGTAAGTGCCGATTGCAATTAGTACCATTGACAAGAAGGCTCAACGACATCTTGAAGAAGGGCTGACAAATGGACCAGCTGGGAAGATTGATAATATAGCTACTAAAGCTTTGACTTATGGTACTCATCGGAGCTCATTAGATGCTTGGTAATGTAGTGATTTTAGCAACTCGACGGTGAGAATGTAATCTTTCATTGATATGGATGATCAGGAATGTTGAACCATGCCCTCTCTGATTGGATAGCTTTCCCCAACGGCAAGAATCAACGAGAGAGACGCTAGTAGGGATTGGAGCACAGCAATGCCGCTCATCTTAAAAGAGAACTAGTGCAGGCGAGTCTCAGAACATGATTGGATGACTCTGTTCCATGGGCAGGAATTCACGAGCAAGGGTTAATCATGACGGAGTTCCGGAGGACAGTGCTTATTAACCAGCGCGCCAGTCAGTCATGGGCTGTTGGCCTCGGCCCTCATGATTAAATCGTGTGCTGGGTCGGTCTCTGCTAACCATGGATCAGACTCAAATCCTAGCGAGGAGGTCCTGCGGGACTTGCAGAGGTAATGGACACTCTCATGCTAAGAACGTGGTGTGACGGGCTTGCTGACATGTGCACCCTCAGACCGACGAATCCGATGCGACCTAGCACTGCCCACCTGCGCAAACTGTGCCAGGGCAAATCAAGAATGCCAGGGATACGGCCTCCGTTTGTCCTGGCCGCGGCCTGGGGACAAGAGACGAACCATCCTGGTGGACACTCCGTCTAGAAATACACTTACTGCAGATCCCTTCCACCACAACCGGGGAGACTGGCCTTTTGTCAATATGCACTCTTGGCACATATCGTCCTGGCTTAATCTAGTGGAAGGAAGAATGGGGGGTGAGAAGGCCTCCGTCATCTTCTTCAATGTCTTTTCTCTCGTTTTCTTCTACCCGTTCAGAGTTCTAATGATTTATTGGCAGCGCCATATCAGGGAGTAATCGAAGCTCCGTCACCACGGACCACGTCGCTCTCGTTGATAGAGAAGAGCGAGTCAACATTGCTCCACTACTGTACGTGATTCGGTTCTTTCTGAAATCATATGATTAACAAGCTCTGAAGATATTCAAGAGGGCCACCGCTTTCTCTTAACTCCTCCTCTAGGATCCTTGACCCGCCTTCTCCTCCAAATCGGCCTCTCGGACGTCTCATCGCCTTCGAGAGCAGTGTTTAACGGTATTTTAGCTCTCTCTTGTTTGCATTTGTGGGGAGATCAATATGCTTCAGTATATAAAGCAAGGGCGACCTCGCTGCTCCGAGCCTCGTTGAACCCGGAAAGCTCCATCAAGGTCGCTGTAAGCAATCTCGTCGCCAGTATGCTCCTCTATCTTTACGAGGTACGTCTTGACCTTCTGTAGGATGCATAATAATCGCTAAATACATATATTAGACTGTCCACCAATCTTCCCCATATGCTTGGGCAGTGTACTTATGCGGAGTCAAAAGACTCGCGCAGTCTAAGATCGTGACTGAGAGTGCCAAATCCGCGCACCCCCAAATCGTGTTTAACTGGGTCTACTACCATGAAACCATTGCTCAGTTTGGGCAACTGTATTGGACACAGAAGCATCCTTCGCCCGTGTGTCACGGAAAGTCGTCGAGGCAATTGAGAGGACACCCAGACATGTCGGAAGTCGTAAGTCCCTTTCAATATCAATAACCTTCGCATCATCTCACATGATTTCTTGTAGGATCCCGGCATGATTGGCTGCTCCATTGACGTATTGGAGGGCATGTCGACAATTTTTGATATTGCCATGCGGCCAATAGTTTCATCCTCCAGGCGACAAGAGCTCCTCGGCGTTGAATCGCAACTCAGGCGCATGATCTCGGCACTTTCCAAACTCACGAATAGTGGTAAAGCCTCTTCCAGCTTGCATGAGATCACCCAACTTCATTGCATCGCAGCATTAATCTACATGAACCGCGCAACGCTGGGCTACGATGGAACGGAGCCTTCACACCAAGCACTCGTTGAGAAAGGTCTAGAAGTATTAAGTAACATAGTCCCCTGCGCAACTCCATGGGCTTTATTTATAATAGGCTGCGAGGTTAAGCTAGATCTGCCGCGACTGGCTATTCTCGAGACCATCTCGCGATCGAAGCAAGAATCTAGGACCGGACACCTAGATGTAGTCAAGGGCCTCGTGGAAGCAGTTTGGAATTACGACGATCTTGATCCGGATATGAGGCTTGATTATAACAAGAAATTGCTGAGCATTGTTCGAGAAGCTCCATGGATGCCACCTTTTGTCTAGCTTGAAGATAATTTAGGTAACCTAGCTGTATTCTGAAATCAATTATTTTTATAAAATCTTTTATTGATATAAATTCACAGTTATATTATTTCTAGCTACTTAGTTAAATCCTTAAGTCTTATCTTTTGTAAACTTAGCTTTAATTACTTAATTAAGATAATAAGGAAGTTAGTTAAGAAATACGAACAGAGAATAGAAAAAAAAAAAAACAACCCAAAAAATCCCCTGCTATCTAAAAATTGAATTACTTGAGACATTAAGAAGCGATGACACGCACTCTCTGCTGACTCCTCACCGTTTCAATAGGTGTACACCACCTTGAACGTTTTTTTTGAGAACACATATCGAATAAGTCTCATTTTGATAGCAAAAAAACTACTTCCTGAGTGTCGGGGCACATAAGTTTGTCTGCATCTAATCATCCCCAGCTATAGGTGCGAGCCTGTAAAGCTTCTCTTAGTTATGGGTATACTGGGGGTTGAACAAGACTGGGTAGACGCTTTCCTTTCTGACTGAACAAGCAAACTCCCGAGGCTTCTCTCCAAATAGAATACCTCTGACCTTGAAGCATCACTTTTTAAACGTGATATCTCCCTCGTCTAAAATCTAATCTATGTCCTTTACGTTTACTTGTTTCATTTTCTAGTAAATTTATTTCGTTATGTCATACCCTTTCCGATTCTGCGGGGGCTGAAACGGATACCTGGCTGTTTGCGCTACTACCTGACTGCTCGCGCTCGTAACCATACCGGTGATAATGAAGCTTTAAAGTTGGGCCTTTGATAGGGATCTGTGCCAAGGGCCACCTGGCTTCTCGATTGCCTCAAGTGCTTCAGACAACCCTTGGATCATGTTTGTACGAGTGCTGCTCTCGTCGTCGCAACTTAAGAAAGATGTGCGAAGGGCCTTGAGCGCAGTACAGACTGGCCAGGCGACGAAGGCACCGCTTAGGGAGAGCGTGTTTATCTATTCATACGTGATAAGCATATTTCCAAGAATCTCACATTGCCTCTAGAGTCTTGGCTTTTTACTCACCACATCTCGGTGTTGAGACCACGTCGAGCAGACTGTCCCCGCTGTCTTTTGAGCTACGCCCAAGAGGCGATTTGCGCTCTCTTCATTAATAGCGGAAGGCAGTCCTCGCCTCTCACCTTCGTTGAGCGCAGCTTCCCAAAAGTGAATCTCAGCTCCATTAAAAAGAAGCTGTAGATCGAACGCGAGAGGGTGGCGATGTATGAGTGTTGCTGTGAATGGCTCAAGCAGGGCATGAAAGGTATCAAGGTGCTTAAGTAAACTGTAATGACGATCCCAAAATCCCGAAGGCTCTTCTTGCCGGCCGACTTGGGTGCATAGCCCAGAGTGGTCGAGCACCTTGCGAACAACTGAGACTACTAGCACCGCTCCTGCAAATGGTGAAAGCATATCTGGACCACTGATGAGGTTTGTCTCTGTTAGGTAGGGCATTGGTAAACGCTCCGAACTCGAATCTAAGCTTCCTAGGGAAGGCAAGGAAACAAATATCTAGAGTTTTCTGATGTAAGTATGGATTCACCTCTTTTGGATGCTGATAGAAAAGACGGCGAGCGCACTCACGGTTGCATCATCTTGCATGGTCGGACGGCCGGTGTGCACACCGCTGTAACCTTCAAGGAGATACCAAGCCCAGAAGCAGCGCCTTCTTTCTTCCAACTTTATCCCGTCGTGTGTTTCCGGGAGTGAGATGTACGGTGCAGTGTTGGTGACTGTAGGCGAACTCCCTCCCTTGTCCATTTGGTCCAAGCGCATCATCTTGATGAGATGGGATGCCCGAGCTAAGGTGAGGTAGGAGCGGGCACACTTTTGCTTGCTGACCTCATACCGCGTTAGGAATAACAGAGATTGCAAAAGGTTGATACTGCTGGACGGCCCAGTCACCTCCTTAATATCACAGTCATCAATGTACCGCCGCGTTTTTGTGTAGCAGGCACCTTCTAAATGCTTATGGCTGTCAGAGATGGTGATGGCGAGAAGAGCTACTGAATAAGCGACACTCTTGACAGCAACCGAGTCTGGGTAAAGCCGTAGTTCCCGGTAGAAGCGGTCCTTGGCCAAGATTGGGATGACGGTGGAATAAGAATCGAAGAAGACTTGATGCAGATATGACAAGTCCTGCGAGGTGAGTGACATTGATGATGTCAACTGTGTTTGACTGGCTGGTATAGGTAATGGATCGATATACGTCTGCCATTCATTAATTTGGTCCTCAACTTCCATGTCGGTTATCTGTATCTGGTCAAATATGGCATTGTATGAAGTAGAGTCAAGACTATCGAGATCAAAGTCTGGCATTGTAGATCGATGGGGATGATCGATACCGAGCCCCTTTTCGGGGACGTAATTTGGGGCTGCTCCATGGGAGTTAGAAGTTGAAGATGGGGATATTGTCGGCTGTGAGTGCGACTGTGACGAGTGGGAGTTGGGAACATGAATCAATCCCTCATCACTGCTGCTGGTAGACTGTAGCGCCAGGCGGGCTTCGGCATCTCGGACGCGCTCTTCAAGCCGGCTTATAATGGCCGCCTGGGAGGCACGGTGGCTCATTCGGTTCCGATAAGTGCACTGGTAGCCTAGGCGAGAGCACCTGCTACATTCTGGGTACTGTCTGTTGCATTTGACCTTGGAGTCTTTTGTCAATAGATGAAAAGGGCTTTGGGGAGAGGGGGGGCATACCTTTCTCTCCCTGCAGTTATCACAGCTACACGATGGCACGTCAGCGGAAACAAGATGGGCACGGATTTGCACACTATCACCTACGTCAGCCGCGAAGGTCCGCTATTGTTGCCGTCCATACGAGTGAAATTGCTCTGAATGTTGCAGATGGATATATTGGATGTACGCCGCGGTTCAATCATGCTTGCAAGCTGTTGATTGCCTTATGAAAGAGGCCAGTTGACAAGAGAAGCACGTGTAATAAATGAAAGCGACGTGAAAGCGATGTCAAAGCGGGGTTGATCACGTAATGACAATCTAAGCCTCTCGGCATGGTGACAGGCATCTGATTGGTTGCTGACTCATCTCAGGCATCGTGCACGAGCAAATACTGTTGGTTTTGTATTCGCTACATTAACCTATTTCGAAGGTAAAATTTAATATATATGTAACAATTACTTATTATTAGCTACCTGACTGAAACAAACCTTTATTTATTTGAATCACTATATTTCATTATTTATTAATTATAACTAGGCATAAAGAAATAAATTAGATAGTATATGGATAGCTATTAACATTAACACGTAGTGATTAAATACTTAGATATAGTTCACAGATTAAAAAATTACCATTCAGGTACTGGATTGCTCCCAAACATCCCGAATAACTTCATGTTACATGTAATCTTGCCAAGTCGACTATAGCTGACGTCCAGTCTATACCTACGTACGTGTTTCCTCTATGTCAGCAGTACAACGCATCGGCGTCAATTCCCCCAAACTGGAAAAATATTGTACTTAGGTAGGCCTACGTCAAGGCCTCGGCAGGGCTTTTTTGTTTCTTGCTTATCCGCCCAGCGTTCTTCGCCGTAGAGTCTGACGGGACTTTGCAAAGCCTCTTATCGCTTCTAGATAATACCCGATTTGTGCGAGAGTCAACGCCGAGAGATCTAGCAAATCAGGACGTCTCAGTCCTATCCCAGGCCTGCCGCGTGTTTTATAGGGTTACATGCAGGTGATTGAGATGCAGCAAAGCCCGCTAGATTCTAGCCAGGCCTCGTTAAGCGTCGGTCGGGGCGGGTAAGCGAAACCGCAGATCATCTTACGTGTGTGTATATAAGCTGACCATTTATCTTACAGGCATGGTGATAACGACGCCCGCTTTCTTCAGCCTTAAGCCTTACGCCGCAGTAGCAGTCCTGAAAGTACCCGCTCCTTCCAAGTTCCCTCAGGATGGGAAACTGGGAATCTGGTTGGATCCATGTAAAGAAAGATATCTTGATAGGAACTTGATTCTGATTGGTTTTTTGGTCTACGGAAAAGGCCCTTGTGTCTATCTTGTATCTGGGAAGGAACAGGTTCTCCCACATCTCCATCTATAATATTGGTACTGACGTGCTCAGTTCATGGTCAGAACAGAGCGATAACGAACTTTGCCTTGCAACATGGCATCTGGTGTGGCCAAAAGGGTTAGTTAGAATACGAGTGCCAGCGGTGAACTATTGGCTTACCATACGCCTCCTGGGCTTTGTCAAGAGGGAATGTTTTAATGACACATTCAATGCCTTTGGAATGCGCAAAGTCCATTGCATGCTGAGAGTCAAAGCAATTACCTACATTCCACGATTGCACAGAGACGCCGCGAGTGATCATGTCGTTCGAATCGACGGTGACATTTCCGTCTTGGGGCAGACTGAGAATCATCAGCTTTCCACGCACGCCAATACCCTTGATCAAGGGCGTCATTGCGGCTGTGTCCATGGCGGTTGTCAAGACTAGTTTGGCATAGCCGAGCTGCTTCAGTACCTCGCCAGGGTCCTGATCCCCGGCGGCGTCAATGTACTCGTCAGCACCTAATGCTCGGATCGATTCCTCCTTGTCGGCACCTCGCGAGATGGCAACCACGCGAGCTCCCAGCTTTTTGGCGTATTGGATTGCCAAGTGGCCTACGCCCCCCATGCCTTGGATGGCGACCAGGTCGCCCTGTTGAATGTCGACGGTCTTGAGGGCCGAGAATGAGGTAGTCCCTGCACACAGCAGCGGAGCATATTTGGCCGCGTCCACATCTTCTGGTATGCGGACCGTGGCCTCGGCTCTTAGGAGACAGTATTCCGCATCTGTAATGTGTCAATAGTTTGACATTCTACGCAAACTCTACTGGTAGTCCAAAAACGGCACAAGGGGGTAAACTCACATCCACCATTCGTGCTTATGCCATTGATGATCACCGGTTGGCAGAACTGGTAAAGCTCCTTCTGGCACATTGCGCATGTATTATCATGCCCTCCACTGGCCGAAGAATCGCAAGTCAGTCTCGTTCTTTGATCCCTATCGGATGTTCGCTTACTGCCAGCCGGCACCGATACGGTCGCCGACCTGCCAACCCTCGACTCCTTGGCCGAGGGCGGCGACACGGCCGATAATCTCGTGTCCGGGGACGACCGGGAATCCAAACCCCCAGACATTGTGTTGTGCCAGGATTTCCGAATGGCACACTCCACAAGCCTCCACCTTGACCAAGATCTCCCCGGACCGGGGCATTTCCAGTGGGACATTCTCAATCACCAGATCCCCACCCACTTCCTTAAAGACGGCCCGTTTGACGCTAGCAGGGAGAGGCATCTCGATGTACAAGATTGCGGCTGATAGGGGAGGGGTGATGGTGTCAGATTCGATATGGACTAATAGGGCTTTTTTCCGTTCCCACGGAAAGGATTCATTGGGATGGGTGAGCCTAGAGGAGATATTTATAGGTACCCGTATCTTGTCTAATGCTCGAAATGTTGGCCTAGATATGTAATATTATTGGCTACGCGTCATTCCACTTACTTCACCCAAGTGCCATCTGGACCACAAATCCTGTCGGCCACGGACTCCGCGCTCCGCCCCTGCCACCAGACGCCTCCCTTTGCGTTGGCTGGCCCCCAAAACCTCTGTTGAGTGGAATTATCTATCTTTTTGAGCACTTGAGAGCTAGATTTGATTTATATTATCTTGGTTCCTGCAGGTTACTCTTTATCTAGAGCTGAGATTACAGAGGTGGAAGAGGCGAGCAACCCTTGAGCAAAAGAGAAAGGGGTGGAGTGGGGGTGGGGTGAGAATATGGACTCCTTGATTGTTCTGAATCAACACTATGTAGCACGTATGGTGCACCAGTACTTACCTGATAGGTTGTATTATTGCTTATGGTGTAGAATATTGGTGTGATACCTGCATATATGGGGCATTGCATAACAGGATCATCGGTGATGACTTGCCCAACATAAGCCCGTAAAACTTGCATCTCCGAGACAGACTATGATTCAGCCAAGAGTGGTGCCTAAAATGCCTAGCACGAGTAGGATTGAGTCACACGGGCCGTCCGCTGTATCAAGTATCATGTTGTCTCTGCTGAAATATTTTGAACAGTACCTTCAAACCGCCCAAGAGATTTAAGCCCCCGAATTCTCAATACAGCTCGAGACGGATGTATGACACCGAGATTGACTCCTTCGCGGATGTAAGATTCCGACAATTTAGCTGGATTGGATAGCGAACCGACCAGCGATAGCCATGTTGAATATGTTTATAATCACTTTGTCCCACTATGTCGATGATAGACGGCCGCCACGTGGTAGAGCTGCATTTCACGCGTTTGAGAGTTGCTCTCATTGGTCACTCGTTCATTCTCTCATGCACTCGTTATCCCCAATACCACCTAGATCCGTTTTTAGTGCTTCTAAATCGCTCTCATGGGAGGTCTAAGCAAATCGCTGGGCCTTGCAGCCCTCCTTCTGGCAGCACGGGTACACAGCAGACCCCTGGGGTCGTCTTTCGGCATCCCCGGCACCAATGCTACGTATGACTATGTTGTGGTGGGAGGTGGAACTGCGGGCCTGACGATAGCCAGCAGGCTTGCAGAACAGAATGCAGGCAGCGTAGCAGTGATCGAAGCTGGCACTTTCTACGAGCTTTCCACTGGTAATCTGAGCGAAATTCCCGCTACTGGCATTGCCTGGGCAGGAAAATCCCCTGATGATTGGCAACCTTTGGCCGATTGGGGTTATGTCACGACCCCTCAAGTTGTGAGTACAACAATCGAACTTGAATGCACAAGGGAACCACTCTCACTGTTTATATAAGGGCGCAGGTAACAAGAAGCTGCACGTTCCACGAGGGAAAATGCTCGGGGGCTCCAGTGCTCGAAACTTCATGATATATCAACGAGGCACCGTCGATAGCTACCAGATGTGGGCGGACCGAGTCGGAGACGCTAACTACACCTTTGACAACTTTCTTCCATTCTTTACGAAGAGCATTACTTTTACGCCGCCAAATGATCAACTTCGACTTCAAAATTCAACGCCTAGCTACGATGCCTCCGGACTTGGTGACGGAGGCCCGCTCGCTCTTACGATTCCTAACTGGGTCTACGCGTTTGCTTCCTGGGCTACAAGGGCCTTTGACCAGATAGGGATCCCTTATTCCTCAAAGGGATTTCAACACGGTACTCTAGAAGGGCACTCGTATAGCATGTTTACAGTCGATAAGTCAGCGATGCGATCTTCTTCGGAGACATCATTTCTGAGGCAGACCTTGAACAACACCAATTTCTATGTCTACCCACTGACCCATGGCCTCAAAGTACTCTTTGACAATGATAAGGCAGCAAAGGGTGTCCTGGTCGACACAGCAGGCATGAAGTACACGCTTTCCGCACGCAAGGAGGTCATCTTATCAGCAGGCTCGATAGGGTCTCCGCAACTGCTGCAAGTCTCGGGCGTTGGCCCAGCCAGTTTGCTCGAATCTCTTGACATTCCCGTCATCTCCGACCTTCAGGGGGTCGGACAGAACATGGAGGACCACATTACATTTGGCATAACCAATGGTGTCAACGCCGTGACGGCCTCGTCAATGGGCGACCCTGCTTTTGCCGCCGAACAGGTCCGCCTATACAATGAGGAGACTGCGGGCCTTCTCACAAGCCCGGGGTCGGATTTACTGGCGTGGGAGAAACTCCCCAACAGCACCCGCAGCTCTCTGAGCGAGAGAACCCGGGGTATCCTGGATGACTATCCCAAGGATTGGCCTGACGTTGAGTATATCGCTTTCTCCACCTACCTAGGGAATAACTGGCTTCCCTCTGTTGTAGACCCCATGGACGGCACAGCATATGCTGCCCTGGCTGTGGTACTGTGCAAGCCACGATCCAAGGGAACTGTCAACATCACATCGCCTGATGCCTTGGTTGCGCCCCAAATTGACCCTGCATTTCTTATAGACGAGGCCGACATTGAAGTTGCCGTTGCTGGCTTCAAGCGCGGTCGCCAATTCTGGGCAGCGAGCGCGCTGAAGGATTTCAAGGTCGGGGAGGAGAAGTACCCAGGATTTGACGTAAAGTCCGATGCCGATATTGAAGCTTCCATCCGAAGAAGCTTTACAACCATCTATCACCCTGCTAGCACATGTGCCATGGGTAAGCCAGATGACCCTAGAGCTGTTGTTGATGCCCAGGCGAGGGTGTACGGGGTAAAGGGGCTGCGCGTGGTGGATGCATCAGCGTTCCCAATGTTGCCCCCTGGCCATCCTCAATCGACAGTGTGTATGTTGCCCAATTACAGCCGGATAAGCCGTAAAATCATTAGCTGACAAACATATTTAGATGCGCTAGCAGAGAAGATTGCGTGTGACATTTCTAGAAATTGTTCTTGATTATAGAGAGTTTGGACATCCTGTGGCACCCACTTCCTTTGTAAGTGTTGACATTAATCAGATATAAGCTGAGATGAGTGGAATAATTAGAAGGCCCCCTAGAATAGTATTTGCGAGCTAGATGGAGTTTTCCTGTTTCGGAAGTTGTGAGAGGGAGAAGGGGGTGCTAGACTTAGTGTTTGTTGTCTGCTAGCTATCAATCAATTCTATTTCCCGATGATATCCATCTCCCTTAAAGCACCTACTTCGTGAAGAAGTACCAAATCTTGGCTACCTTGGAGATACTGGGGTAATACACTGAGATAGTTCGTCATGGTGACATAAAGTCCAGATACTACACATGTTAGGAAGGATTTTCTTTTGGTAGATATTTGACTTCAGCCTCGGGGGCACCAGATAAGGGCACTTTTTTCAGTGTCGATCAAGATTTATGACCAAGAGCGATGATATAGGGAAATACACACATCAGGTGGTCTGGAAGGTTGTTGTGGGATTGGTGAGAAGGGACTCGCCATATAAAAGTGAACTTGGAAAGCCAGCGGTAAACTCAGCATGGGCACTGATCTAATACTGCTTGTTGATGTATATGTTTGTAGGGTCATGTCCTGAAACATGATGTGAAACGGTGACCAAATTTTACAGTGCATGAGATAACAGTCACTGACAACGAGAGATTGTCAAATGTTTAAATTCACCGTAAAATCTAGACTAGGAGAGTTAACTTCAATGAAGGCATACTATGAAATGATAATTATTCCTCAAGGATACCATGATTAACACAAAGCTGTCGTGCCAGCTTGATGGTTGTCAACGTCGGCCCGAGGAGCTGCTGGAAGGGAATCTCAAGCGCAAACTCCTTGAATAGCCAGTTGCGTAACTCGGCACCAATCATGCTGTCAATTCCGTAGCTGGCAATGGATCCTGAATCACCGTCAAAGACCTCAAGATCTAGCAGAAGCATGCGGGAAAGCTTGCCCACAATCTCGTCACGAGCCAGCTTAATAGCCTCGTCAGGCGTGGCCGCGGACAGCATGGATCCCAACGCACTGGATCCGCTGCCAACGCCCACTCCGCCGTTGACTGCCTCAATGTTGTGTACCAAAGAGCGGAAGCGCTTATCCGCCATCCAAAAGGGGTCTACATGGCCTTGTTCAGCATTGTTGATCGCTCGGGAGAGGAGAGTTGGGTCAAGACCGATAACAAGCTGATGAATTCCATCAGGACGCTGCTGCTCACGAATGGCAATGTCAAATGACCGAAGCAAATGCTCCTCGTCGATGCCGTACATGCCCTTGCGCGTCAAAGCGTCTTCGAGATCGGTGCTCTCTGCAACCACACCAACGCCAAGAACCATGGGAACGACGGCAGCGCATGCATTCTGTCCCCTTGCGCGTCGATAGTGCGCAAGGGCGTCTAGAAATGCGTTTCCGGCGGCGTAATTTGCTTGACCTGGCGTGCCGAGTGTTCCAGATACGGAACTCGTCATGAGGAAGAAGTCAAGCGGCATGTCTCCAAGCACCGCTTGGAGGTTGGCCGTACCATGGACCTTGGGTTTGGTGGATGTTACCCAGTCTTGGAAGGTCATATTCTGGAACATGCCGTCCTAAGAAATATTAGCAATGCACTGCTTGGACACTTGGAATGCCAACAAATAAACTCACCCGAAGAACCATGGCAGCTTGAATCACACCACGAAGTGGACGGTCGCTAGGTATAGCGGCTACGGCACGTCTGACGTCTGCCTGCACACTCACATCGCCTCTGACAACATCTACATGCGCCCCGGCAGTTTCAAGATCTGTTATAAGTCGAGCCGCTGCAGGTGCGTCGGCGCCACTGCGGGAGAGGAAACAGAAGTTTCTGGCATCTTTCTCCATCATCCAGGCTGTGAGACTGCGTCCAAGCCCGCCCAAACACCCTACCAAGAGATAGGTTGCGGCAGCATCGAGCGTGGTGGTCTTAAGAGAAGGCAGGATGACGAGCGGTGTTTCTGATGGCTCGTATGAGATGAGTGTCTTGCCTGAGCCAATCCCATCGTCAAACCTTGAAATGGCCTTGTTCAGGTCGGATATGTTGACAACATTCAGAGGCCCAAGCGGCGAGATCTTGGACTTTCGATAGAGATCAATTGCTCCATGGAGGAGATGGGAGACAAGAGAGGGCTTGTGCTCATAGAGCTCCACGACATCGAAGGAGAAATAAGAGGCCCCGCGGTAAAAGGGTACCGGGTCCCGGGATCCTCGTTTCAGTACCAACTTCTTGCCACACTCGATGTACCGACCGAAACGACTAATGTACCGCCAGGCTTCACGTGCCGACGACTCCGGTGTCATTCCAGAGCTGAAGACCACATCGACCTTGCTGGTCCGGTGCGGCGTGGCAAGCATAGCTTCCACCTGGCTCGCTGATGAGAGTACCTGGTGTTGGGCTAGCCCGTATTTCTCTATGATGGTTGATGCTTGTTCTTCAGTACTGGCAACAACATACGGGATGGCACCCAATGTTAGGGCAACCTCGATGGCTGCGGCACCGCCGAATCCTGTGCCTTCAAGAATTAGGAGTGTTTCACCCTTCTTCAGAGATGCCAGTGATTCCAGACCATGTAGGGCCGTGATATACGCCAATGGAAGACTGACTACCTCTGCGAGCGACTCTCCTGGGAGGAGCTTTTGTACCAGGTTCTTTGAGATAACCTGTCGGTTTCCGAACCTCCCAGATCCAAGGCCAATAACGCGGTCCCCTACAGCGAAGTTTTTGACTGAGCTACCAATACGTTCCACTGTACCGCCGACTTCATGATTCAAGGTGGTAGAAATATCGGTTCCATGAACAGCGAGGACGCCTTCTTTGCTGAGACCAGTAACAGAAACTCGAATCTCCACGGAATCGGGGCTCAACTCAGGCCGAGATACCTGCTGCTCGAACAAAACTTTCCCATTTTGAACAGTCCCGCCGATGTGCATTTCCGGGTCGTAGGGGAGCTCCTCAATGGTTTGTTCCCTGTTGAGGGCGTTGTTGGGTAGAAGCCTACTTATATATAGCTTATCATCCGATACGCAGTATTCGTGTTCAACACTTGCACCATCTTCGATCTGGTGCTGGCTCTTTTGAGCAACAAACTTCACGGCCTGGTCTATCGAGGTCGTTTCAAGGTCAAAGTCTATAGTCACAATATTGATGGTGGCTCGTTCAGCCCGAATGGATCGAACAAGCCCAGCGATCATGCCTGCGGCTGGTCTCTTGCCATTCAAAAGGCCACCAGCAGATGCCCATAGCAGTGTCTTGGCTTCATTGGACACCTTCTTGATCATGTTGAACTCGTGCTCGGAAAGACCGAACAGGATCGGTTCGTCAAGATCAAGGAGGACGACATGGGGCTGAACCGTGTCAAGAGATTTTAATGAGATAGGCGTGGCCTTGTAACCACGATCTGCAAGAGAGCTAAATTTGTTAGCCGGGAAAGGCTGGGGTGAACTGGAACATCGTATGGCTTACCGTTTAACCTCGCTCAGAAGGCTGGCTTCCACCTGGCGATACAAAATCTGAACCTCAATCACGTCCTCGTTTGAACTTTCCACCTCTGGCGATACAGAGAGCTCAAAATTCTTTCCTCGTGCAATGAAAAGGCTGCCATCATCCGTCATCAAGTTCTTAATGGCTGAGACGGAGTTTGGCTCTGAAAGAGTGACATCAAATGAGCCCTTTACTAGACCTTGCTCCGCTAAGTCTTTCTGCATGTCCACAAGTTTCCATTCTGCACTTGGATATTTCTCGATAAGTCCCTCTGGCGCCGGGTTCTCTGAAATGGCAGTGTAATTTAGTTCGGGGGAGGTCTGGAGGAGGGTGACTGCATGCTTTCCTCCAACGTCCAGCACCTTGATCCCGGGATTCTTGAACGTAGCAAGCTCAGCAAGAGTCTCAGCGCTTTCAATCTTGATGAGAGACTCCAAATCCTCCTTCCAAACTGTTTCGCTGTACGGCATTGGCTTCAAAGCGGTAGAAGAAGACTGTGGCACGGCGGCTTCGTAAAGGGTTCCTCGCATGTTGCTCATCTGCATCAGCACCTCGCCGTTGTTGGAAACGAGTTCATTCCCGCACACAAAAGAGCGAATTCCACGATCATCAACCCAAGCTGTCGCGAAACCGTCACCAATCTGCTCCTCTGTCGGCTTCCAAATGCAGACCTCATCGACCTGGATAGGAGCGATGGCTGCAGCCATGGCCTTGGTACGGCCGGCATAGATGCTAGTAATCATCAACTGTAGGCAAGAGTCTACCGTCCCTGGGTGGAGGACGTGGCGGGACTCCCCTAATACATTTCCAGACTTTTGTTTGACTTGCGTCTTACACGTACAAATGTAATCCCGGCCGTTGAATCCAATATCGGCCATGTCTGCAAAGACGGGACCGTAATCAAAGCCGACTGATCGCAGTGCTTGATTCCACTCCTTTCCGGAAGCCTGCTGGCTCAAACTTATTCGGGCCCTTGGAGCTGGTCGTTGTGTTTTCATATTGGCGCTGATGCTTCCCGTCATGTGATCGGTGGTGATTCCCTCCTGGTTGATAGAGGAGACATTGAATTCCCACCAGCTTCCATCACCGCTGAATGTGGCTGGTCGCATGTTCATTAGAACTTCGATACCAGTATCGTCTTCTGGAGTAACGAGCGCTTTTTTGATTGAGATGTCACGGAGAACGTAGCTGTTCACCTCCATGTCCGGATCGTGTAGTTCCGTAATCTGCGTCACTGCTTCCATGGCCACTGTATAGCGGTTTCATATGTCAGTATAAATTCTTTCCACATAATTCCTTTTCGTGTTTCCACTTACTCGAGAAATAAGCTGCCGCCGGAAACACTGCTTCACCGCCGAGTGAATGGTCCTTTAACCATGGCAGATCTCGAATCCGCAGAAAATTGCGCCATGTTGGTTCAGCGAGAGAAGCACCTGGAATCAAGGAGCCCAAAACATCATGCCTAGGGTACTTTGGTTGCCGGTGCTCTACACTGTGTCGAGCCTCAGCCCAGTATGACTTCTTGCCCCATTGATAGGGAGGAAGGTCGACAACAAGATCTCCCCTCCTGCATACGACCTTGCCCGCTGAGGTCGTTTCTTCGATGGACGTGACGCGATCAATATCCAGGGGGTAATCCCTGAGGAAAAGCTCACCAGCAAGCTTGAGCATCTGCATAGCTGAATCTTGGCCTCGGACCATGGTCGGCAAGTAGTCCAAGTGTGCCGCCTCGAGTTCTTGCTTGATCTGACGGACTGGGCCGCCCAACGCACCGTGAGGGCCCACCTCAATGAGAAGATTTACATCGGAAAACTCAGACTTGGTGAGAATTGTCTGGATGGCTTGGTTGAACAGCACCGGCTGGCGTAGGTTCCGGCTGAAGTACGTCTCATCCAGCAGCGTTCCAGAGGGAATAGTGGCGTTGACCACCGAAGAGACCATTTTTGCATCAGTAGAAAGAGGCATGTCAAAAGGGACAAGACTACTCTTGGCTTGTCTGACATAATCTTCATAGCGAGCTGAGGCTGGCGCCATGTGTGGCGAATGGTATGCTTTCCCGTTTGTTTTGACCTGGCGTGCAAACACTTTCTCAGAAACGAATGTCTGCTCCAGTTCCGCAATGGCTGCCTCGTCTCCAGATAACGTCACACCGGCCGGAGAGTTGTGGCAAGCGATGACAACCTTGCCCTCGTAGCCGGAAAGGTACGGCTGGATAGCATCGGCCCCGAGACCTACAGCCATCATACATCCACCTGTGTTGATGTCTCGTACGACATAGCCGCGATAGTATGCCAGTGTAATGGCCTCGCTGGCTGAAATGAGACCTGCGGCATAGGAAGCCGCAATTTCGCCCGATGAATGTCCGCAAGTGACAGCTGGGTGGACACCCCAGGCGCGGAGTAGCTGGACAAGAGCAATCTGAACGGCAGTTGTAAGCGGTTGGGAGTATTCAGCCTCGTTGACCCGAGAAGTATCGGGGTGCTCAAGCAGCATGTCCTCCAGAGTCCATTCAGGGACATGTGGCAGCTCGCCCAAGGTGTAATCAAGAGTCCGGATGCTGCGGAGGAAGCTGGGGTAGTAGCGCATAAGCTCTGCGCCCATACGAGCGTATTGTGCGCCTTGACCAGTAAAGATGAATCCTATGACGGGAATCTTCTTCTTGGAACCCACAACAAGGTCTTTAAGCTTTCCGTCCTCCAGGCTCTCCTGCTTGGCCACGGTGAAGCCTCGTGTAGGGAACACAGTTCGGCGGTTGCCAAGGGTATAGGCCAGGTCCAAGAAGTCATAACTCTTGGCGACAGTACTGTGAGCTGTGAAATTTCTCTCCAGTGCGCTCTTGTCATGGGCTGAAAACACGAATAGGTAGGGTCGACTGCGGTTAAACGCGCCACGAGGACTCTTGACAGCTCTCCTCTCTCCAGATAGATACTTGTAAGTCTGCTTGCGTGTCAGAAGAGCATCGGCACTCTCGACGACGACGTGTGCATTGGTTCCTCCGTATCCGAAAGAGTTGATACTGAATCGCTTCAAGGGAAGGTCTGGGAATGGAGTTGGTTCGGTCGGCACCGTCACCATCCACTCCTTCCACTTGATGGCGGGACTGGGGTTGACGACGCCTCTTGTCGGTGGGATAATGCCTCTTTCGACAGACAGCACAGCCTTGATAAGAGCAGACAGACCTGAGGCAGCTTCACTATGTCCGATGCTTGTTTTAACGGCACCAATCATGAGCGGATCTTGGTTAGAGGTTCGCTGTTGGTTCATTGCCATGGAGACTGCATTCACCTCCAGAGGATCTCCAACCGCAGTGCCTGTTCCGTGGCACTCGAAGAACCCCGTCATGCGAGGATCGAGGTTGCCACCTCTATAATAAGCATGAGAGATGACTTCGGCTTGCCCTTCGCGGTTTGGGTGTGTGATGCCAACGGCAGGGACTTTGCCATTGTTGTTCGTTGCGCTGGAGCGAATCACGGCACGAATGGGGTCGCCGTCTCGCACAGCATCACTAAGAAGTTTCAAGTACACTGCACCGACGGCCTCAGCTCTGCCGTAGCCATCGGCGGAAGCGTCGAATGTATCTATATGTTAACAAGAGGTTAGTCTTTGTTCAAAAGAAATATGCATAGCGGCAAAGAAATAGGCTCTGAAAAGGGGCACAAGGAAAGGCAAGCTATCCTGTATAGAAGAACTGGGGACATGAAAATCACGATAGGTACTTACGGCAGGTTGATGTAGGTGAAAGAACACCAAGCTTGGCGGTGTTCATGTGCTGGTCGACTGTCATGACGAGGTTCACACCTCCCACCACTGCGGCGACGCATTCCTTGTTTCGAATCGCATTACACGCATTATGTAAAGCATAGACACTGGATGAGCACGCTGTATTGACCACAATAGAGGGGCCTTTGAGGTTGAAAACGTGGCTGATTCGATTACTCAGGATGCCAGGATCGACACCCGTGGCCGCCAGCGAATGTCGAAACGCTGGCTCCTTGAATGCCATTTGTTGGAAGTCGGCAGTGAAGCTCGCTGCGAAGACGGCGGTTTTAGAACCTGATACTGTATCCAGAGTTACACCAGCGGACTCAAAAGACTCATATACTACTTCGAGGAGCTTTCTTTGCTGGGGATCCATCCACATGGCCTCAATTGGGGTGATATTGAAGCAGGAGGGATCAAACTGTTCCAAGCTCTCATTCAGAAAATACCCACCGAGAACATTGAAGCTTCCGGGCCTATCATTATTCTCGTGAATGTGGGCATCTATCTTGAAGCGGCTTTCAGGTACCTTGGGAGTTTGGCCAGTGCCTTTCGACATCATGAGTTCCCAGAAATCAGAGGCCGACTTGACATCACCGGGCAAGCGGCAACCTAAAGGGGTTAATGATGATTCATTTCATACCATTATTGGAGCATAACCTACCCATGCCAACAACTGCGACAGGTTCCAGCTGTTCGCTCAATGGTTTCTCAGTGCTGCCTGGCAACGAGAACTCCGCATAGGTGTCATCATCCACTACGGCATTCTGCGTCCGGTAGTGGAAGCTTGCTTCGGACCTAGCCTCTGTTCCCTCCGGAGACGGGCTTGCGCTGCCACGGAGAAAAGGCATCTTGAAGAATATAGTTTCTTTTTGTCTTCTGGTACAGTTGGAAATATTGGAGAGCTGCAAGTTGTGGTTGGTCGAGATAAGTTAGTCAAGCCGTTACTGATATGTCAGGAGGCCAGTTTGAAGCGTGAACTATTCATTAGTATGACAGCGTCCTATATCATACCTTACAACTATCGAGACTTTAGCTTTGATGGTGAAAATTACATGGACGAAAAGCGTCTAACAATATAGCAACTTAGCCTTACCGCCTCGGCAGCATCGAAGGCGGTTTACAAGGGTAAGCTTCATGGCGGTGACGGACACGGATCAGCGAATGATTAGAATCTCAGATGTGGAGGTCGACAAGCAGACCCCGGCGGACTCCGTTCACCCCTTCTTCTGGACCTGTATCTGGAGATTCGGAAGATGAGGCCGTGCTTACTTGTCCGCACCGGCCGAGAGAGCCAGCCGCAAAAGGCCCTTTTGGGCGGTCTTAGGGCCCCGAGCTCATTGGGAAATGCTGTCCGCTAGAGGTGTGGAATGGCACGGATATGACACTCCTACCGGATTACACCGACTCGCCAGATAGCTTGAGTAGACTGGCACCCGAGAAGAATGGTACTGCTGACGCCTGCAGGACCTGCCGTTTTGCTTTCAATACAGCCCTCTCCCTCTCCCTCTCCCACCCATAGTCTCGCGAGAGTGATATAGGCTTTTCATTGACTTTTTGATTTGTTGGAAGGTCAAGTGAGAAGAAAATAATGCCTGGATCCACCACAGATCATCGGCAAGTCCTCGTGGTCGGCGCAGGTAAGCTCCCACATTTTCTTAGGCCATGTCGCTAGAGATTACAGATCGCTAAGAACCGTCCAGGATGGACTGGTCTAATTTCGGCTAAGACGTATCTGGACCTCGCTCCCGGAACTGACCTCCTGATCGTCGACAACGAGAGATCAATTGGTGGCGTGTGGTGCAAGGAAAGACTGTACCCGGACTTGTATGCTCAAGTCAGTCACCCACTTTTCGAATACAGTTTCTATGACATGCCACGGGAAGGGATCACACCAGATGGCTTCTTATCAGGTATCATCTCGAAGTCTGTCCTTTGATATCACGAGAGATACTGACAATGAGATCCAACTCAGGTTATACGATTAACAAGTATTTGAACAACTTCGCTCGTGACTTTGGGCTCGAGTCCAAGATCAAATTGGAGACAACTGTAACCGAAGTGAAAAGATCACCATCGGGTAGTTGGCTTGTCAGCTTCGACCACGGCCCCGATGTGGTTACTGAGAAGCTGATTTGGGCAGTTGGACCCGGCTCGAGCGCCGTGCAGCCATCATGGCCAAGCAAGGGGTTCACGCAACCCATCATCCATTCGGCGGACACTGGTAGCAACCTCGATCGGATCAGCAAAGTCGAGCGTGCAACTCTTGTCGGTGCGGCCAAGTCGGCCTTCGATACGGTGTACTTCTTGCTCAAGGCTGGGAAGAAGGTGGACTGGATCATCCGAGAGGAGGGTGGAGGCCCTATTGCCATGGGTCCCCCGAGTCTCTTTGGCGTGATAAACACAGTTGATGCACTTTCAACACGAGCCATGGCTAGCTTTAGCCCAAGTATAATGAGGACTTCTGGCTTTTGGTACCACGCAATCCAGAGAACGCGAATTGGTCGCCTTGCGGCAAGGGGTTTCTGGCGATTTGCCAACTTCCTGGCCGACTATGCAGCAGGCTACTCTGAGAATGATAATTTTGCAAAAATTCGACCCGAGCCGCATGGCTATGGGTAAGTCAGCCCTAACTAATCGCCTTCAAGAAAGAGGACTAAGTTTGATGCTGCAGAATGTTCTGGGCTCGAGCTGGATTGGGGGCACCCTCGGCCCCAAATTTTTGGAAGATAATGCACTCGGGGGATTTGAACGTTATACGAAGTGAGGTCGAGTCGCTGTCGCATGTGAATGTCGTCAATCTCAAGAACGGCATCTCGGTTCAAACCGATATGGTCATTGCCTGCATCGGCTTTGAAAAGCCGTATAGGCCCTTTGATCGTGAGCTACGGAAAGAGCTTGGCCTAGCCTACGACGAAGTCGATGCAGCTCGATGGGCCGAGCTAGATGTTCATGCAAGTGAGAAAGTGGACAAGCTGCTCCCTATGCTCAAAGAGTATGCTCCCGCAGCATCTTCTGTCGATGTCAAGACCGAGGCCGTTCTCCATGGTCCAAATAGACACTACAGACGTTTGATCCCTCTCAAACTAGCTGAGTCGGGCGACAGGTCTATTTGCTTCCCAGGGTTAGTCCACGTCATAGTGACACCGACCATTAGCGAGTTTCAGGCCCTGTGGAATGCTGCGTATATGCTTGACAGGCTCAAGCTTCCAAGCTTGGACGAAATGGAAATGGAAGTTGCCGTCTTCAACGCGTGGGTTCGAAAGCGACATCTCGAGATGGGCCAGAAGCACTCCTATTGCATCTTCGACTACCTGTCGGTAAGTTTCCTGGGCGTAGACATAATCCCATGGGGAATTCAGTTACTAATTTGCCATATTGCAGTACATCGACACACTAGCAGGGGATCTTGGTATCAAGACCGCGCGGAAGAGGAACCCCTTCTCTGAGGCTTTCGTCCGGTATAAACCAAGTGATTACCGAGGCTTGATCGATGAGTTCTTGGCGGCGCAAAACAAAGACAAGTGATTTTCCGCAGTGTTGGTAGACTTTAGTGCGAACAGAACACATTCTAGGAATTTAAAGTGCCTCCCTTTTGTGATTGTTCCAATAGACTGCACCCCAGGCTCAGAGGCGATTATATCGTGAAATGCGGCCTTAGTTAATGAATCCGATGGTAATCTTTGAGTTCAGTTATATTCAATGACGTTAACTCCATATCGCCCATTTCACTGCATCCCCCTCAGTAGGGGTCACCATGTAGTTCGTATTATGTAGTGAAGAAGATCTTGGTAGTATAATTTGCATTACCAATGTCTAGATTTGTAATGTGCTATTATCGTATTCATTCACTAATTCCAACATACACTGCCCAGAGCCAAGCATCACGCCCTGGTGACACGTGAAGGTAGTATCATCCTTTGAAAGCGCCAGCACAGCATATTCTTCGTCATGACAACATGCTGTACAACCCGACAATGAGTCATCAGCCATAGAAATCTCTTTCTTCGAACTGTATCAATTACTAATAGCAGAGGCTGAGAAATGCAACAGACTGTCTTTGTTTTTGATTCATAAGCAGGGACGGTAGGAAATGTCCGCGCGCGCGGACAAAATTTACCGAGCCATGCTAGTAACCCAATAAAAGCCCTACAGCCGAAGACTCACACCCTCTCTGGAAGCACCACTGGTAAAAACCCCTGTCAGATCTTATCAATATTAGAAGCAAAGCTTCCGGTGCGCCGTATACGCGAAATGGAACCTCCTGGTGAGAAGCATGCAGTGTCAGTCGACAATAGTGGAGGCGACAGCTCGTCTCAGCAAGACCTTGGTCAAGTATCGCCTCGCCAGGTCCACGGGTGGAAGGTCAGTTCCTCTTGCCACATGTACCGCTATACACATTTAGAGAACGATGTGAATACTGATTCATCGACAGTGGGCCATAGTGTACCTCTCAATCCTGACCACCGTTTTCTTATTTGCTCTCGACAATACCATTGTATGTCCGAATCCTCTCGTGGCTCGACAAGACCAATCCCGTCTCACAGAAAGAACATAGGTTGCTGCTATCCAGGTACCGATCTTGAACACCCTGGGTCATGTCGAACTGTTGCCATGGATAGGCACGGGCTTTGCGCTTGGCAGTACCGCTATCCTCCCTTGGGGTAAAGCATATGGCATATTCTCAGTCAAGTGGTTGTTCATTTTCAACATAATCTTGTTTGAGATTGGGAGCGCCATATGCGGTGCAGCGCCCACCATGACAGCATTCATCATTGGCCGAGTCATTGCTGGCGTTGGAGGCTGCGGCATGTATTCAGGGGCACTCAGCTACATTGCCTTTACCACTTCAATGAAAGAAAGACCTGCCTACATGGGCGGGTCTGCCGTCATCTGGGGAGTGGGCAGTGTGCTCGGGCCTGTGGTAGGTTGCTTCACAACGCGATAACTCTGGAAGAAATTTGTCGTTGACTAGTGTGGCGATAGGTTGGTGGTGCTTTTGCTATCAGCACTGCGACTTGGCGATGGGTATGGATGGTCACTCAGCTCAACACCCTCTAACCTTGGACATGCACTGACCGTGTCTGCAGGCATTTTATATTAATCTCGTGATCGGCGCCGTCTTTGCCCCCGCCTACATATTCTTGTTGCCCAACATTTCACTGCTAGCTGGCAAGCCGTTGGTCCAAAGACTGGGCATGCTTGACTGGGTGGGAACTACTATATTCATTGCTGGTTCCGTATGCTTCACAATGGCCATTACTTTTAGTGGCCTGACGTACCCGTGGAGTTCTGGCTCAGCCATTGCTTTATGGGTCATGATAGGAGTATTGCTGCTTTGTACTATTGCTGTTACCATATGGCATCCTTGGAGCACCAAGGGGGGCCGCCTCATCCCAGCGCACTACTTCAAACGCCCCGAGATATTGAATTTGGCTCTTCAAACATTCCTGGCCTCAGGAGTGATGCTCTCTGGCGCATACTATATTCCTCTATTCTTTGCTTTCACGGAGGTAAGTAAATTTGTGTTTCCCTGGCACATGTTCAAACTGTTGATCTTTCCATGCTATTTAGGGAGATGAGGCCATGGAGGCCGGCATACGACTCCTGCCTTTTATTTGCTTACTTGTCTTCTTTTCTCTCGCCAACGGCATCGTGATGCCCATGACCGGCCACTATTTTCCATGGTTTGTTGCGGGAGCCGTAGTGAGCTCTGTCGGGGCTGGCCTTATGAGTGAGTTGCCTGGGTCTATTCGGTAGTCTTTGGAGTCACCCATCTAACCTTTCCATAGCAACCGCTGTATCCAACACTTCGGCAGCCAAAATCTACGGTTTCACTGTTCTCGTTGGT